TTAAAATTAAATAACTTTTTAATATTTTATTCTGATTTAATTATAGGATAACTTCATTTTTAATATTTATATAAATTAAATTGCTAATAATAATGTTTTTGTAAAATATTCATTAATTATATTAAATTTATAAAGTTCATAATAAAAAATTTATTCTGATATTAATTTAATTTTATATTGAATTCTTGATTTCATTATATTTTAATATAAATATTAATTAAAAATGTTCTTTATTTGTATGAATAAATTGAAATAAAAAATCTTTTAATAACTTAAATGAATATATAAATTATAGAAAAACAAGAAACATGATAACTTGGAAAAATAAAGATAAGAAATAAATAATAAATTAATTAATATAAAGAAGAAATCAGATAAAAGATAATGAATTAATAAATTTGGACCTTAAATATAGTAAAATTATTGAAATAATAAAAAAGCAGAAATGAAAAAAGAAAGAGTATAAAAAGCTATTATTAATTCAATTAAAGAAATTTAAGATTTAAAAGTGGAGAAATTAAAAATATTTGATAAAAAAATAAAACTTTAATAAAATAATCTTTCTAAAGAAGAAATTTATTATAAAAAAAAATAAGAAGAACTTAAATACCTAATTTAAGTTAAAATTTTCTACTCCTATAAATAAATATGTATAAGAGAAAAAACAAGAATAAAAGCTTATTAAGATGAATTAATTATTCCTTCAAATTAACATTGGTGAAAGATATTAAAAGTAAAATTTACAAAAGTTATGAAGAAATACTTAAAATTTAAATCTACAATAGTATAAATGAAGAAGCAAAATAAAAAGAAGAAAATTATAAAAGAAAAAGATAATTATTAATGGAATTAAAAAATAAGTTGACAAGAAATCTAAGAAAAAGTATATATAAATAATTAGAATAAGATAAAGTAAATATTAAAAAAAAAAAAAAAAATTGATAAAAGAAAAATAAATAAAGAAATAAAAATGATATTTATATAAGAAAAAATAAGACCATTTTATTAGAAAAAAAAATATTATAGTTTAAAAAAGGATTTTAATAAATAAATAAAAATAAATTAATTATATATAAATAAAAATTTATATATAAATAAAAATTATAAGATATATATTATAATATTATATTTAAATTAAGAAATAAGTCAATTATATATTTATATATAATTAATATATATTTTAATATTTATTATAATAAAGAGAAAAAAAATATAATTATTTTATATTTTATAATTTATATTTTATAATTTATATTTTATATTTAATATTTTATATTAAATATTTTATAATTTTTATTTTATATTTATATTTTTTATTAATATTTTTTTTATTTATTTTTTATATTTTAGATTTTATATTTTTTATTTTATAATATATTCTATATTTATATTTTTTATTTTATATTATATATATTTTATTAGTAATTATAAATATTTAAATATATATAAGTTTTTTTATTCTAAATTTTATATATATATTATTAAAATTTAACTGACTAAAATGATTAATGTATTTTTTTAATATATAAAAATGGAATGTTTTTTATTCTAAAATAAAATCAAAATATTATTAACATATTAATATATAATTAACATTTTATTTATTTTATAAATATATTCTTCAATCTTTATCAAAATAATAAAACTAATTATATAACTATTTTTTTGGTAATCTATTTTAATTATTTGCTTTTTTAAAATATTGCTCTAATTATTCAAATTATATAATGAAGTTTTTTTCTTTAGAAACTTTTTAAACTTAATTATTAATATGCTTTTATAAATAATAATTTTCATCAGGAATTTCAAAATTTATGCTATCTAAAGATTCCTCATCTTATTATTTTTAAAAATATTAAAAACTTTTATTATTTCTTTCACATTCTTACTATTATATAAATTGTTTATTAAATAATTATTTGCAATTTTTTTAGTTATTTTATAATTCTTTATTAAATTATTATTATTTATTTTATTTTTCTTAAAAGCTATTGCTATTTAGATCTCCTTTAAAGCTATTTATTATTTGTTTTGTACTGTTTAAAATTTAATAATTTTGAAATAAAAGTTTATTTGAGAAAGGGTTAATTTTATATTTTTCCTTTTTATATTATTTTATATTTTGCTAGACTTATGTTTTATATTCATTTAATTATTTTTAATCAATAAAATCTTAAATAGTGGATTATTAATACATAGGGATTTGTTAATAATTAGTTTCATCGCCAACATATTAATTTTAATTTTATAAATTTAAATAAGATTTAGTTTGTTTTTTTTCTAAAATTATATTATTGATATCATTTTAATTATCATTACTATTTTAAATATAGTTATTCATATCTTATTAAATAATTGCATTTTTTTGTCTTTAATCTTTTTAATTATTATACTTATTTTCAATTATCTAAATGTTTTTTTATGCTTTTATTTCTATTTATGGTATTTTGTTTCTATGTTTATTAAGAAAAAAAATATTTTAATTATATTATTATTATAATATTTTTATTATTATATACATATTTTTATTTTTTATTTATTATATTGTTTTTTCTTAATTACTATTCTAAATAATGTCGAATATTATTTTATTATTATCATCTTTATGTTAATCATAAATGGAATTAATATTTTAATTATTTCTTTTTTATTATAAAATATATGTGTATTAAGCAATTTCTTTTTCTATTTATTTTTCTATTTAATCTAAATTTTAATTATCAATTTTATATTTTTCTTTTATTTCTTATATTTAATTTTTTATTAAACTTTTTACAAATTTCTATTATTTTTAAGTTAATTTATACTTTCTAGCAAAATGTGAAGAAATTTATTCTGGTTCTGTATTTTCGAAGATTGGTAATTTTACAAATTTTTCTTTTATTTTGACATCAAAAATTAATAAAGGAATATCATTTTCAAAATGCACAATACTAGAATTAGGTGTAAATTCCATTAAAAAGAAATAAAAAAATTATAAATATATAAAATTAATAAAAAAATAAATAATATTTATAAAATAAAATTTTGTAATTAAAAAATAAAAAAAAAAAAAAAATTAATAGGGTCCTAAATATATTAAAATTAAAAAATTCGATAGGTAATTTATTATATAAATGTAAATAAAATATTTATATGTATATTAAGATTTATATATTATTTATTTTAATGTATATTATGAATAAATTAAAATATTATATAATTATAAATTAATATTAATTTATATAATTAATAATATTATTTAAATACAATATATATATATTTAAAAAATTTATATATATATTTTTATATTTATTTTTATATATTTTTATATTTATATATTTATTGGTATATATATATATATATATATGAATTTTCTCAAAAGGTTTTTTTTTATCCCAATTTAAAACCCTTAATAATTTTATTTTTACAAAAAAGATTAAGATTTATTTGCATTTTATAGATTTATTAAATTTTAATTATTAAATTTATTTTTTTCTTTACATCTTTCACTATTTATTAGTTGTTTTTTGGCGAACTAGAAGATCTTTAATTTTATTTTTAAGCAGAATCACATTGAAAAATTTATATTTATTATTATTATTATTATTATTATTATTATTATTATTATTATTATTAATATTTTTATAATTTTTTTTATTATGAATAGCTTTTTATTTATTAAGGTGATTTTTTTAAATTATCAACATAGTTTTTATTAAATAATATATTTTTTTCATCTTCTTTTTATTGAAATTAATTAAAAACAAAATTAAATTTTGTTTCTTATTATAATTCAGGAGATATTTATTATTTTTCAAAAAAATTGGTGTATTATTCTTTATATTATTATATTTCGTTTTTAACATATTCAAGATCATGCATATTTTTTATTTCTTTTACACTATATATATAAAATTAAAAATATTAAATATAAAAAATAAATCAAAATATTTAAAAAAAAATTGCCTTTGTAAAATATGTTAAAATTTATCTGAAATTTTTAAAAAATTTTCTTTAAATTTTTATATCTACTATTCATGTTATAAAATAATTTTTTTTTATGTTCTTTCTACTAATTCACTTTCTTCTTTCATTTTTTACATTAAAAATTCTTCTAATTATTTACTTTATTAACTTTATAATATAAAATTTTATTTTTCTGCTTTATAAGCCTATTTATATTATTTTTAAATATATATATATATATATATATATATATATTATATATATATATATATATATATTTATTCTTATTAATTTTTTTTATTTTTTTTTATTTAAATTAATTTATATATATATATTTCTTATCTACTTAAAAAATAATATTTTTTATTTATTTATTATATTTTATTTTATAATTTTAAAATATAATATTTACATCTTAATAATGCTCCGATTTTCCCATTTCCATTTTTAATTCATTTTATAAACTGCATATTCTATGTTCTAATCTATCATTTTCTTTAAGTATTTATTCTACAAACTCTTAATTAAAACTTTCAATACTATGGCTATTTAATTCTGCTGAAATTTTTTTTATTAGATTATTTCTATTTTACAATTCTTCTATTGCTTTGTTATAAGTTAAAGGCATAACATTATTTGATATTTATTCTTCACCTTTAAGATTTTTACAATTATAAATATAAATTCAAATTAATATATTACATTGTTTTAATTAATTAAATAATTCATTTAAAATTTCGTTTTCCTTTACAGATTCATTTTCTATTTAAAATCCTGTATAATATCTAGCCTTGATACTATTTTTAGAAGGTTTCATAAGTAGATTTCTTATACTATCACTTTCTTTTATTATTTTTGGTTTAGTAGGTGTTTTTTCATAATTATAGCTATTTATTCTTTCTTTTACAAATTAAGTCTCAAGTTCTACTTATTCAATTCTATTTCTTAATTAAATATAGTTTTGGCTTGATTCCTTTATTACTTATTCCAAATTATTTATATGTTTCGATTATATACGATTTAATATAGATTTCATTTTAGCTTTGCCATATTCAATTATTTATTTCCATTCTAATGCATGAATTGTTCTTATTAAATGTTAATTTATTGTATGAGAACTATTTTTTATTTTCGGTTATTTATTTTTCAATTTATTTTTTACTTAAATAATTGCTTTTTTAATAATACTATTATAATATCTCTTGGTATTGGATTTTATGTGTTTATTTTTTCTATATAAGAAGGAAAATCTATTATTTCTTCTAACATTTCAGACGTTTTATTAAGTGTATTAAAGTCTAAATTTCCTATAAATGATTTGCGTGTTATTATGGATCTATTTCTAAGTCTTCTTTCTTTTCATCTTCAGAGATTGTTTATCTTATATTTTTCTCTAAATCACCCCATTTTTATGTAAGATTCTTTTTGTTTTTAATTTAAAAATAAATTATAAACATTTTTTTTTGTTTTTTAAAAAAAATATCATCATAATTAAAATTAATGCTCTTTTAGAAATACTAAGAGAAATGAATTTCAGTAAATTATTATTTTTATTTTAAAATATCATCAATTTTTAACTACTCTTTAATATCATATAAAAATAATTTAAAATATATTTATACAAGAAAATATGTACATATTTCAAATTTTTCTTTCATTAAAATAGATATTTTATGTTCACATTTACATATAGAATCAATAAGCGAACTAACTTATTTTTATAAAATTTCAATTTCAAATATATTATAATCATTCTTAGTAACTTATTTAATATGATTGAATTCAATTTGATTTTTCTATTCTTTAACTTAAGCTAACTATCCTTCATATAAAAGTAATTCTTTCTTTTTTTCCATTAATTCTTTTTCATAATTTCTACATTAAATAACTTTATCAATATAGCATTATTTATAATCCATATTTAAGCCTTTTTTAATTCCTGGTTTAGAATTGAAAGGACTTAACCCATTTAAATTATCTTCTAATTCAGAATCATCTAATAGTGAGCTATTTAAACCGTTGCTATTAGTTTTTAAATTATTATTATTATTATTATTATTATTATTATTATTATTATTATTATTATTATTATTATTTATAATCTTGTTATTATCATCATTTTTTTCTATATTTTCTACTTCTGAATTAATCAAAATATCTTCTAAGCCTTTTACTTAATAAAAATATCTTTATAATATATAAAAAATTTACAAATATTTTACCAAAAGTTACATTTTCATTATTCTTTACAAAATTTTTTATTTCATCTTTTAGTTTAATAATAATGGCTTTATATTTCTTACAATAACCTTCCTTTTTTTTTACCATATTTTTTAGTTATTCAATTAGTTTTCTCATTTAATCCACACTTAACTTAACATTTACCTTTACATTGTTTTTAATAGTCTTAGCCCTCTATGCGAATTTAAGAGTACTAATCTACTCTTCATGTTGACATGAATGTGGTGACAATGTCACAATTAGAGATGTTTTGTAATTTCCTCCAAGACTTTCCTATAAAATACGTGTCAATTTTGAATCTCTATAAGGAATATGCTCATAATTAGAAGTAAGGGAATGAATAACATTTCCCAAACAACTTAAACTTAAGTTAATTTTTTTTGCTTCCTCAAGACTTTCCCCTGTAGCTTATGATTTAGCTAATTTTCGCTTCCAGCAAGGTCTACTAGGTTTAGTTTTCCTATTTTTTCCTAGCCATTATTTAATCTCTGTGTTACATTAATTGTAAAAATAAGTATGAGATCTAGACGAATATTCATTCATTCGAGTCTCTCTAGTCTATTTACTATTATATCCGAGTGTAATTGAGTCCATTATATCTTCTTCGCAGTCTACAGCTACATTAGTTAGTCCTTTTACAAAAACACCACCTTTATTTGGTAATTCTTTTATTTTTAAACCTACTCTATTTATATTTAATAAATCAAAAAGTTGCTCCTTATAAATTTCTAGCATACTGCAAGTTATAACGTATTCAATGTCCTAATCTACTTGATTAATTTAAGTGAAAATTTAATTAGAGACCCTTGGTATTATACCACAGCTTTTTTAATTATTTACATCTCCAAACATTGTGTGTGTTTTACCCGAACCTGTCGCTCCGTATGCAAATATAGTGCCATTATAACCTTAAAGAACACTATTAACCATTTCTCTACCTACATCTTCATATATTTAATCTTATTAAGCATCTGGAGCGTAAACTTTGTCTAATGTAAATATACTTTTTTCTGGCAAAACAAGAATAGATTTAGAATCGGGAAAACGCAAATTATCAAAACCAAAGCCGTTTTCAATAAATTCGATTTCCATTTTATTCAAAGGTCGAACACGGACAAAAGTACGTATATTGCTTGATTTTTAACGTTCTTTTTCATCATTAATATTTTACAATGTTTGTGTATTTTCAAACATATTAATGCTTGTATTCATATTTATACTTTGAGCTAAGCTTTATTATTCCACTTTTTTGACTATATAAAATAAATATAAATATAAAAAAAATATAAATATAAATATATATATATTATAGAAAATATAAATTTATTTATATATATATAAATATATAAGAATTTAACTTGTTTTCGAATTAATATTTTTGATAATTAATGGTATATTTGATTGTGAAATTACTTATGATTTATTTTCATTTGTTTGGGTATTTAATCCTGAAATATCAATATGCTAAAATGAAGGATTGTTTATTATATTATTGTTATTAATATCTTATTAAATCTCAATTGATTTTTATCTTTATATTGCTAATGTCAATTATCTATTTTCTTAACTTCTTTAGATTACTGGAGGTGCCTTTGTTATAATCATTCTTTTTATATGTTAAAATAAATTTAATTATATATTGTTTGTTTTATTTTATTTTTTACTTCATTGTTGCTGATAATTATTGTTCGTTATTGATATAATTTTATGATTATTTGCGTGTTAATGATGTTGAAGATTTTTCTCTTTCTTTTGATTTTTCTGTACGTTCTATTTTTTTTTTTTTTTTTTTTTTTCAATTAAATATTTTTATGATTTGGTTTTGTTTTATTTTATACATTTTACTAATGAGCTTTATCTTTATAAAAAAAAACTAGTTCTTGGAAACATTATTTTTACTTTTTATTTATTTTATTATATGTTGTTATTATTTAGATTCTGTCTTTTTAACAATTAATTATAATATATTTAATTTTATAATAAATTATTACAAAATATTAAAAACAAAGTGTTTTAAAGTTAAAAACTTAATAAATTATTAAAAATATTATTTATTTAAATTTATTTAAAAAATTAAATAAAAAAAAAAAAAAATTAAAAGTTTATAATTAATATAATTAATATAATTAATATAATAATATTTAAAAAAATATATAATGAATACATCTTATATATGAAAAATTATATTATATATTAACTTAATTAAAAAATATTAAAATTAAATTCTGAAAATAATAATAAAAAAAAAAAATTAAAAATATTTCAATTAAAACAAAATAATAACAAAAAAATGACTGAAAACAATTCAGCAGAAAATGTAACATTTTTAAAAAGTTTAAATCCTCTAAATGTACTTCTAGAAGAAATGAAACAGCCTAGTGTAAAAAAACGTGCTTAAACAATCAAAACATTCACAACAATAAGTATAGCCCTCGGTCCTGAAAAAACACGTGTATTTTTAATTCCTTTCATAAACTAACTTTTTAAAGACGAAGAAGAAATCTAACGCGAATTAATTAAATTAATCCCTTAATTAATAAATTATATAGGAGGATAATATCACGCACATTTATTAATGGATATTATATTCAACTAATTATAAAAATAAGAAGAAGTTTAAATAAGAGATGAATTGTTAATATGTATAAAATAAATATTCAAATAAATAAATTTAAAGCATTTTGAAAAAATATTAATGGACTTCACAAATAGAAGTAATTTTTTTTTACATTTAAAAAAATAAACAAAACAAAAAAAGCCTTATAAAATGATAATTTTAGATAAAAAGAAATTTCAATAATATTAATGCCTGAATTTTTTACTGAATTAGATGAAGAAAACTAAAAGGAAATAATCGAAAATATAGAAAAATTGTCCACTGACCCCACTCCAATGATAAGAAAAATAATATGCTAAAGCTTAGTTTTTTTTGGGAAAATAATACCTATATTTCCTGAAAACACATTCATTCAAATTTTCGAGAATTTCCTTTAAGATGAAAGTGATTTTGTAAGAGTTCCTTTATTGGAAATTTTAATAATTTTAAAATAAAAAATATAATCGAAAACTTAAGAAGAACTTAATAATATTTTCATAGAGAAAATTTTACAGGACAAAAGTATAAAAATAAAATGCAATTTGATTGAATAAATAGAACTTATTGTAAATTCTTTTGAAAAAAATATTATTAACTAGTTTTATATACCTTCCCTTTTAGAATTTCTAGGAGAAAATGCAGATAATGAAGTTAAAATAAAATTCTTATAAAATATATTGAATATATATTAATTTATACCTAATTTCTCACAATTATTTATTCCTAAACTAAAATTATTAATCAAAGAAAAAGGAATATAAATAAAGTAAATTAAAAATATTTAAAAAATAAATAAATAAATATATATATATATATTATATATATATATATATATATATATATATATATATATATATATTTAACTAGAAATAATTTAGGTGATGCTATAATAAATTTACTTTAAGAAGGCAACATAGACCTTCTTAAAATTCTTGAGAGTTTTTTTGAAGAACTTCTTGAGGAAAGCGACAATGAATAAAAATTTAAACTATTTAAAAAAATTAAAGACTTCAAAAAATTCCAATAAAACCTATCTTCTAATGTAATTTAAACTATTATAAAATCAATTGAAAATATTTCCCAAAGTAAAAAATGGCGTGTGAGGACTTCTGCTTTAAATACAATATCTCGTTTAGTTCATGAAGCCAATTTATAATAAAATCAAGTCGATAAAACTTTTTTTTAAATAATCAAAAATTTACTCAAAGATAATACAGCTGAAGTAAGGCTAGAAAGTGCTAAAACACTTGGACTTTTAGCTAAAAACTTTCCCCCTGAATTTACCTAAAACTTTATATTGCCTGAGTTTTATGAGTTATTCGAAAATAATAACTATTTATTAAGAATTGGAGCTTTTTTTAGTATAAAATATACAATATAGAGTCTTAGTTAGTCATATATATTTACGTAAATTAAAGATTTATTAGAAAAAGGTGCTATAGATAAAGTCCCAAACATAAAGATTGTTGTTTTGGAAATAATAGAGGAGATAATAAAACACTTTGGGGCAAATAATACTGATAATATTTATTAAATTCTTAATAACTTAGCAAAGGATAAGGACAATCAAGTAAAATAAAAAGCCATATATATATTAAAATAATAACAATGAAAAAAAAAAAAATTAAATGTAGTTATATAAAATATATAAAATTCATTTTTTAAAAATATAATTTTATTAAATATATTCTTTCAAACTTTTATCCGCTAAATCAAAAGCAGAAAATCCTTCATTATCTTTAACATTATATGCATCTGCCTATTTTTCAATCAATTTAAAAACTGCTTTTTTATTTTCATTTAATATAGCAGTATGTAAAGCTGTAAATCCATCTTAATCTTAAGCATTTATATCTGGAAAAACGCCCAAAAGATATTAAAAAGCTTCTTCTAGTTCATTTTCTATGACAAAGTGCAATCCAGTTTATCCTTTTTCATTTATATTTAATAAATTAAACCCTTAGTTTATTAAAGTATTTATTTTTTCGATATCTTATTACTCTAAAGCTTCAAAAAAAGCACGATTTTCATTCGATTATTCAAAATTTGGTTTTTCTTATAAAAATTCGCTACCTATATTTTTTTCATTCATTTTACTTACTTTTACACCAAAAGTTTTTTATTTATTTTCTACTTCTTATTTTTCTTCATCACTTATAAATAAATCTTTTTCACTTAGTTCATATTCATCTTATTCTTCTTATTAATTTTATTCGCTTTCTACTTTTTAAAATAAGTCTATTTTCTCAGGTAATAATCTACATATATATTCTATATATAACATCATAGCTTCCTCTCTTTTTAAGTCTTTAAATCTTTCCCAATGTTTCCACTTCATATGGGCTTCTATATTTAATTTCAATGGCTCTTTTTACATATTTTGGCCAAACAAAGCTTATTTATAAAGCCCATATAATTCTAAAGAATCGTTCTGGGATATATTTTGTTCTTTTCTTATTATTTAGCATGCTTTTTCGAATTTCTTTTTTAGGTTTTCAGGTATTTAGCAATCTTTTGTTGATATGTCTTTTTATATGTTTGAAGAAGATTATACACGCTTACATTTGCTAGATAAAATGGTAAATAATTTCTTTGGGTATGCTAGTATTAAACCGGTAAATAATAAATTTGTATAATTAAATATTTAAAGTAATTTAGACATTTTTATTTTTATTCTTATATTTTTTTTTTACTAATTTGTTTTTTTAATAATATTTTTTTTTTTTTTTTTTACAAAATAATTTTTGTTGATTTTATTCTTTTGTTTACGGATGTATTTTTCTTATTTTATTTTTTTCCTTTATTTTCTGAATCAGAAAATAAATTAATATTGCTTTATTAATTTATATAGTTTTATTCAGATTTTTATTATTATTGAATTTGGTGGATGCTATTTTTATTATATTTAAATATATATTATTATAAAATTACTTAAACTAAAAAAAATATAAACTATAAATTAAAAAGACATACTTTAAATATTTATGTATTAAGAAATATTACAATTTCTCTTAATTATATATTAAACAATAAATTAATAAAATAAAATTATATATAATAATTAATTAAATAATTACTTTTTATTATAAATTATTTATTTAAATAACAAAAACTACAAATCAATAATACAAGAATAATCCCTAAATCTATTTTAAATAATCGCTGATTCTTGGAATATGAGTGGTGCGTTTAACTACAAGAATAAAATCGATAGTTTTAATAAACTTAAACAAAAATAAAGAGTTTTATAAACTATTCTAAAGTTTTGTGACCTAACTTAGTAGAACTTCAGGAAAATAACCTTAAACAATAAGAAAAATAAAATATTTCAATAAATGATTTTTATAAATTAACTCTACCTCAAAATATAAGTTAAAAATAACGGAATTTTACTATTACTAATTCTTAAAAAATATGATGAAATAATAATAAATAATCTTTGAATATTATGAATTATGACATAATAGGGAATGTTATAAATTATCTTAAAAAATGGCTCTAATCATTAATTGGCAAACAGGAAAGATAATATGTTTGAATTGGAAACAATTCCCAGGGATCAATAAACACTCTAAAAAAAAAGTAATATTTGGAACTAGTCGAATAAGTCTGATACAGTGTGTATGTAACTACTTTATTGGATATGAGCTTTGCCTGTTATTTCATCTGTAGCCATGCAGATAAATCAGGTAATTTATATGAGCAATATGTGCCAGTTTATAAGTAACTATTTTAAACATAAATTATAAAATAAATGACTATCTATAAAATTAAAATAGTATTAAATTAAATAGGACATTAATATGCAATTATATATATATATATATATATATATATATATATATATATATATATATTTATATATATATTAAAAATTACATATTTATTTTGTTTAATTTGATTTTTTCATAGTCCTGAATGAAGAAAAATAATAAATTTATAATTAAATAATCAATGAAGAAGAATGGACCATTAAATCCAATTCATTTAAATTTAACTTACATATAATTACTATTTGTCCAAAAATAAAATATTATTAAATAACAAATAAATAACAAAAAATATAATTTTTCTTTAATTAAAAAATTATAATAGTAATAGTTATATAGTCATATAATTTATTAATATTAAGATCAAAAAATGTTTTATATATTTTCAAAATTATATATTAAATTTAATAATCTAAATAATATATAAATTATTTTTAGCCTTTTACATTTAAAAAAAATTAAAGCAAAATATTTTTATTTTAAAATAAAAATAAATTAATAGTATTTTAAATATTGTAAAAAATAAATTTAATAAAAATAATTAAAATAATATATAAAATTAAATACTAAATTAATTTATATAATATATTTAAAATAATATAATAAAATATTTATTAAATATATATTTATAATAAGAATTACAAATATCTATTAAATTTTAATATAAATAAGATTATTTTTCAATTAAATAATTTATAAATTTTTTTCATTAATATATAATTTAATTTGATTAAATATTATATATATATATATATATTTTTCTCATTTAAATTATTTTTATTTTCTAAATAATTTGTTTCTATTCACATATTTTATTTGTTATTAATAAAAAGATAATTACAATAAAAGAATATTAAATATATAAATTAAAAATAATTATATTTCCATACACAATTTTATTTTATTTATATAACTATTTATTTTAATTTTTATAAATAAAATTAATAATTTAAATTATCATTTATCTTATTCATATTATATGCAAAGACTTTCTATAGTATTAATATTAATTTATTAGTTTTCCAAAAAATTTTAATTTATGGCCTTATTACTATTATTTTCGGACTCATTTTTAAATGAAAACTCATCAAATTTATTAATTAAAATATTATTTTAATCAATTTATAATTATTATTTTTATTCCTATAAGTATTACCAAATATTATTATTTTATTAAAAAAATTATTAATCGAAATCTAAATTAATGTTTCTATATTATTAAAAACTTTAAATATCTTAAATAATTTCATTTCTTAATTTTTATTCATGTAAATCATACATATCCAATGTATCTTAAAACTACTATTATTATTCATTTGAATTTTAGCTTTTTTATAATATTTATTAGCTTTCCATTTAAATTTATAATGTTTTCATTGTTTCCATTATTTTTGTATATTCTTCGAATTATTTTTGGACTTCTTTCATCTCTAGTTTAATTTTCTTATATTTATTTTTCCATATATCTAATGATTTTTTAGTTATTATATTTATTGTTTTTGCTCAAGAATTATCTCATGTTCATTACTTTTTTCATTTAAATCGATTTTTGTTAACATACTCTACATTTCAATAAACAGATAGCCGTATTTTTATTTTAATTTAAACACTTCTTATTGTAATAATTTATTTTCCTCAATCAATGGTCCTGATTAATTTTCTATTTCATTTTTTATTTAGAAACAACATTCCTTTAAATTTACTATTTAATTAATTTTATATATATATATTTTTTTTTACATTTTTTATTGAGTTTTTGAGAATTTCAAGCTCTGTTTAATTTATTTACTGTATTTTATCATAACTTTATTTTTTTTTATTTAATTATTCTATTATACTTATATTTTAACTTATTATATCTTATGATATAGCCTACTAAGATTTACAATTATTTTATAATTTATCTGTTTTTTATTTTTTTTAAATGAAATAATATATTTTCTTATATATATATATATATATATATAAATAACTTTGCTTTTATAATTTTTAATTTTCTTATGAAGTTTTTAATTATTATTTAAGATTATTAATAATTTCTAAACTTTCTTCATATTAATTTTCCAAATATTAAATAATTTGATTTTTTTTTTAAATCTCAGCTTTTAAATTATTTATTTCTTGTTGTTTTTTTAATAATTCTTCATTTCTTTCTTTCGGTTCTTCTTTCCTTAAATATATCTCTTAATCTTTTATTGTAATATTATCATAAATTGAATTATAATTATTAATAAGGAACTAATTGTTTTTTTGACTATTAAAGCTAGTATTTTCATCAGTTTTTGTTTATAAAATTTGCTTGTTGGGAGAATGCGAATAATAAATATAGTTTTAAATTTCTTTTTATTAAATAAGAGTTTTACAATCTTGGCTTTTTTCTTAATTATTATAATTTTAAGGTTTTAAAAGATTAATATTATTGTCAATATTAATTATTTTATCATTCATTTCAACATCAGAAGGTTAATTGTTCGGTGATTCAATATATTATGGCTATTTTATTGGTTAAGAAAGTTTTTTATGTTTAAAATTGTTTTTTGTTTTAGAAAAAAAGTTGTTTACTACTGCTTACATACTCAAGTTTTACATATATTTTTTTATTATTATTATTTTTTTTATAAAATAGTAGATTTATTCATGATTAATCAGTTAAATATATATTAAAAAAAATATAGTTATTTAATAAATTTATTAATTATTATTTTTATTATATATATAAAAACTAAAACATTTTATTTTTAAAAATTCTTTAAATTAAAATAAAATATGGAAGTTAATAGTATTTATAATTTGATATATAAATAAATTTAAATTTTCATTTTTTAAAATATTTGATTTATAGACCTTAAAAATAACATTTACTAAATTTACTTAAAAAATAAAAAAATAATTTTTTTTTTATATAAAAAATCAAAATTTAAAATGTAAATTAATAAGAATTATTGATGACTTTTAATATTATAATATAAAAAAGTAAACATTAAAATATAATAATTATGTGATAAATTATCATATTTGTTAATAATTTTTATATCGAATAAATTATATAAAAGGATAAAAATGAATGAAAAATTAAGTTTAAAAAATTAATAAACTTATATATAGAAAATAATATTTTTATTTTTATAAATAATATAATAAATATATTCTTAAAGTAATATATATATATTTTTTTTGAATAATAATATAAAATATTAAGTAAATGAATTTAAATACTAATACTATTAATTTTATAATTATAAATATTAAATGAATACTTTTTTGTTCATATCTAAAATTAAATTAAATATTTCAAAAACAATAATATATTGATTTATATTTAAAATTTAATATTTGTTATTATATATTTTATTTATGTTTATTTTTTAATATTTTTTCTTTAATTGTTTTTTTATTGAAACTTTTTTTTTAATTTTTATGAATATTATATGATTTTTTTATTTAATTATATATATAATTGAATTAAGTGGGAAATATTTTCTTTTATCAATTATTAATTAAAGCAGGAAAAATTCTGTTTAAAAACTTGATTTCTTTGTTTATTTTAATAAATATAAATATTTTTATTATGATAAAATATATGCATTTTATAAATAAAAACTTTTTGATTTTAAAGCACATAAAATTGTGTGAAAAATATATAAAATAGATAAAACATACTAAAAAAATAATATATTAAAAAAAAGAAAATGATTTATAAAATATTATAAATTAGAATATTAATAATCAAAAAAAATATCAATTATATATTTAAATCAAAATATATAATTTATATTAAATTATTAATTAAATTATATTTTTTAAAAAATGATTATGAATATTAAAATTAATTTCTTTATAATAAAAAATAATATTTTAAAAGCAATAAATTCTTGGTTATTTAAAATAAATTTTAAATAAATATATTATTTACATATATATATATATATAAAAAAAAAAAAAATTAATAATTATAAATAAATAAATAATAATATATATATATACAATTTTATTTTTTAATGTATATTATATTTATATTTATAACTTTGGATAGAATCAAATTATATCGGTAATTTCTTTTATAGTTGTGATATTTTAAAAATAATATTAATTATAATTATTTTTTTATTAATATTAAAAATATTATATAAAATTATTATAATTATAATTATTTTTTTAAAAATTTAATTAATAAAAAAAAAAAAAAAATATATTGATAAAGCTACTTTTTTAAAAATAGATTATTTTATAAAAATCTATTATTAATAGTAAAATTTTATTTTTGAAAAAATAATAATTAATATTTTTTGTTTAATTTAATGAAAAAATATGTAAAATAACTATTCGAGTACATTATTCATATTAATATAAAAATAATATTATTTAAAATTTAAATATAAAAAAATTTGATTATATAAATTGATATAATTTAATAATATTTGATATAAATTTTTATAAATATATATATAAATATATATATATATAATATATATATATATATATTTATTATATATATAGTTTATTATTATTATTTATGTATTATTATTATTTATATATATACATTTAATTAAGAATATTAAATAATTTTATTTTATATATATATAATTATTAAATAATATTTTCTTTTTTATTCTTATGTAGAACATTTTTCCTTAGATATTATTTGTAATTTGTTTATTCTAATTTAATTAAGCTATTTATAAATACAAACTTCCTAAAAAATTCTAATCTAAAATTAATACATTTTTATAAAATTAAAGTTAAAATATTATTTCTAAAAATGATTTAATGGAATTTGTAAGACCAATCCTTAAATCTAGTGTGGTAATAATAAATAAAAAAGACAATTTTTGCATAAAAAAATATTTTTAAATTTGATTATTTAAGCTTTTTAAAATTTTGTCTTTTTTTTTTTTTAATTTAAAAAATAGAAATTATATGATGAAGAAATGATGGAAGCTTCTTTATAAAATTATTTAAAAAATTAAAATGATTAACTTGATAAATAAACAATAAAATAATTAATGAACAAAAATAATTTTGAAAAATTTATAAATAAATTTACTTTAACAATTTATTATAACTTATTAAAAATATATGGTAATAAAAATTATATTAAAAATTGTAATTTAGTTTTTAGGATAAGATGATGTTTCAGATGAAGAGTTTGAAGTTATGATGTAAAATCCAGAAGAGTTTAGTCTAAGTTGGTTAGATTATAAAGTTATGACATTAGATTTTGAAAAAAAATGTAAGAAGAATAGGCTTAATAAGCTTAATAGGCTTAGTAAGAATTATGAAAATTAATATAAAAAAATGTATGAATTTAATAAAAAAAAAATTAAAAAATTAAAAAAATGAAGAAATTATATATTTTTTATATTAAAAAAAAATAGTTTTACTTTTTTAATAAAAAATATAATTTTATTAAAATAATTATTTATTTAATTTTTATTGTATATTTCTTTCTTTATTATTTATCAAATTAAATTTTAATATTTATTAACATATTTTGTATAAATAGAATTTACTATTAATAATAATTTTTATATTTATTTATTTATAATTCCTAAATAAATTTATAAATAGAAATTTTTTATAAAATATAAAAAAAACTAACTTAAAAAATATATAAATTTAAATCATTAAACTAATATTTATTATGTATAAAAAAGAAAGAATTAACTTTTAAAAAAATATATAAAAATAAAATCATTAAATTAAACTAACAGAAGACTTAACAAATTCTTATTATTATAAATTAAGAGCTTTATTAAGTTTAGGTCTTTTTGGATTAGCCACATAATATAATCCTAAAATACATAAAAATCTAAAAACAACTCCAAAAACAAACAATATAACTAAGTTTTACCAAATTTAATTTAAATAAAATATAGGAACAAGTTTTTCATTTAGAAAATTCTATTTATTAAAAAAAAAAAAATATAAATATAAAAAAATAAAAAATATTTACAATACACATAGCTTAATATCCATATTTAAATAAAGAAAAATAAGAAATAACTCTCCAATATATAGGGAAAGACTATTCGCTTTCAAAAATTCCTGAAAGAAGTGATAAAGGTACAACTATAAGAGAAATTAATGCTATAGCAACTTCATATTTAGGAATAAGTATAGAAACTAAGAATCCATAAGAACTTCCGTGCCAAGCCAATAATATCATTGTTAGATTAGTAATTAAGAATTTTACAAGATTAGCTTCAAATCCTACAATAAAATAATTAATAAACACAAAAAGAATTGGAAAAATAATCTAAAAAGAAAACTCAGATAAGCATTTCCCCCAAAAAAAAGCACTTACTCTATATAAATTAGTCGCTTTTTCTCTTATATAAAGACTTTTTTAAGAATTGAAAGTAAATATACTTTACGAAACAGATTAAAAAGCAAAAGCATTGACCATAAAATACGAAGCTCCTCTAATATTAATGAAATAGATCAAAGGCTAAGTATCAGGATTGATATTTCTAATATTATAATAAGCAATAATAAATAAAAAACTAAATAAAATCAACTAAAAAAACTACAATTTCAAAGACATTTTCGCCCTTAGAATATTAATAAAAAACCGCTTTGAAATTAAAATAAATTATACCCAAAAAGAGCTTTCTTTATATATACTTAAAATTTAAGCAGATTCTTCTATATTTTATTAATTATAATATTCACTTTTATCTTATTTTTCGTAATTTTATTTTAATAAATTTAATCTTTCCTAAAATTAACATTTTATTTAATCTTCATCAAGAGCTAATTATTAATCATCATCTTCAATCATTTTTTCCATTAAAAAACCTTATTCATTCATTATTTTCATAAAAAAATCACATGGATTATATGATTCGGGACATTCGAAACCTATTTTAGTAAAAAAATCTATAGAATCTTCTGTTCTTCCTTAATATATAATATTCCCTTAAACTAAAAGAAGTAAATTATCGAAATTATAAAATAAATCTGTTGAAGGTTAATGTACTGTAGCGATTACATTCATTCCTTTATAAGCTAATTTTTTTAAAATATTAATCACTTAAAGAGACGTTGATGAATCTAAACCAGTTGTAGGTTCATCTAAAAATATTATTTTAGGCTCAGTTAATAGTTCTATTCCTATAGATGTTCTTTTTTTCTCTCCCCCGGAAATTCCCTTTATTAATCCACCTCCAATTAATGTATCGGCGCATTTCTATAAGCCTAATTCTTCTATTAGATTTTAAATTTATAAGTTTCTTTATTATTCTGAAAGTTTACTTTTTTTTAATTACAATACGAATTAAAAAGATTCTAATTATTTATATATTTGTTAATAAATAAATATTTTTTATTTTTTTTTAACCTCTAGGTGTAAAAGTAGATAATAAAATATCATCTTACATAACATAAGCTATTTAATTTGAGTATTCTTCTATACTTGTTAAATTTCTTTTATTTAAAAATAATTCTCCGGATATTGCTAAATTTTCAGAAAATAATCTTCCACTTAAAAAATTTAATAAAGTTGTTTTTCCTGATCCTTTAATTTTTTTATATATATATTTATATTATAAAAATATTAATAATAATAAACATAGATATATATAAAAGAATTTATATGTAATTATATAAGTATAAAATATATATAAATATATAAATATATATATATATATATATATATATATATATATATATATTATTTTGTTTAAATATTAATTTAGCTTATCTATAAATTATATAATACCTGAAGGGTCCTATAATAGCTGTTAAAGAATGTGGATGAAGTATTCCTGATAAATTATTAATAATAAGTTTTTCTTCCTTTATTTTTTATGACTTACCATTTATTTATTTTTTAATTAATGTTGAAGCTCTGATTTTTAAATTTCTCCATTCTAATTATAATGGTACATTTATTATTAGACTTTAATTTTATTATGATTAATAATAAATATTCTAAGATTATTTTTTACTCAAAACACTCAAACTTCTTTAGCTTAATTTTTATATAAATTCTAATTTCTCATCATCTTCTTAAAATTATTATTCTTATTTATTCATTTTTTTTTTTTTATAATTTTTTTATTTATTTATTTTAAATTTGACTTTATTAAATGAAATAAATTTATAAATAGTAATTCATTTTTTTAATATAAATTATAAAAAATAAGTAACATATATAAATATATATATATATATATATATATATATATTTAGATTTTTTAAAAAAAAAAAAATAAATAAATATCCATTTTTTATCTTTATTTATTATTTTGGTTTTGTTTATTTTGAAAAAATAAAATAAATAAGTACAGAAAAATAAAAATAAAAAAAGTATAATGTTTCGCACATATTAAAAAATAATAATTAATATTTATTATAAATCATAAAAAATAAAGTTTTTTTCTAAAAAATAAATAAAATTATAAATATTTTTTATTTTTTTATCTAAATAAAAAAATAAAAACTAAATAAAGAATATTTAAAAATATGTAACCACAAAAATTAACTCAAATACGTTCATTAACATAATAAAAGTAATCAAAATTCAAAAAAAGATTACTTTAAAGTTCATTGTTGTTTTTTGGTTTAGAATTATATTCAAGAAATTATTAAACAGAATTAAAATTTATTTCAAAGAAAACAGAATAGAATATTGATATAGTTAAAAATTGCAAATCATTAAGAAAAGTAAAAATTATATTATTAAAATAGAAAAACATTGAAAAATATATAAATATATGTATAAAAAATATTTACATATTTATATAAATATATATATATATATATATATATATATATATATATATATATATATATATTTATATATATTTTATTTAAGGGATATTATATACCAACTTCATTTTTACCTTCATCATTTTTAATGGCTTTATATGGTGCAAAAATAGACCCAACTCCATATGTTCCATATGAAAGAGAATATGTAAAAACATAAGATGGTGGCTAAATTGCATTAGGTTTAAAAATTTTAAAAACAACCATATTAAATAAATTAATAATTAAATAAGATTGGGTACCATTAAAGAAGCAATTTTAAAACGAAGAAGATAATAAAAATAAAATTCTTATGATAATGCATGGACTTACAGGAGCCTCTAATTCTAATTATATTTCTTAATTAGCTTTATTTGCTTAAAAAAATGGATATAGGCCTGTATGTATTAATATGAGAGGATATAATTCATAATTATCTGTAAAGATATTAAAAAAATTAATTTTTTATTTTAATTTTTATATCAAGAATCATTAATTAACTGATTTTACAAAAAACGATGATTTATTAATTACCATAGATCATATTAAATAGAAATTTCCTTAGGCTAATCTTTACGCAGCAGGTATTTCTATGGGGGCAAATTATTTATTAAAAATGGCAGGATAAGAATAAGAAAACTGCAAATTATAAGCCATTGTAAGTATTTCTAATCCTTTTGATTTATTGAAATGTAGTTATGAATTAAAAAAATGGTCGAAAAAAATTTACGATTTTAACTTGACTAAAAATTATATAAGAAATTTGTAATAAAATTTAGATATTTTTAAATAGAATGAATAAAAATTAGGAATAAATTTAGGTTTTTATTTATTTTAAAATAAAATATTTATTAAATTTTAATAAAAAAAAGATAAAATATTATCAGCTAAAACTACAGAAGAATACCATTCTGAACTAACAATGAAACTAACAAAACATTAAAATTTAGAATAAATGTATACAGAATCAAGTTGTGCTAAATATATAAAAGACATAAAAGTGCCAACATTATGTATAAATAGCGGCGATGACTACGTTTGTGTGTATTTATTTATATAATAATACACATGTATAAAAATAAACATATAAATATATAAATATATATATTTATATATATATATATATATATTTATATAAATATATTTTTTTTCTTATTTTCATTTAGTCCTGATCATATTCCTAAAGACAAAATTACCTAAAATCCCAATATAATTATGGTTATGACATAAAGAGGTGGTCATATTGATTATTTTACTACTTATAAATGCTAAAGAGTATATATTTTTTTTATTTTTTTTAAATATATTTTAGTGGGCATATTAACCAGCTCTTGAGTTTTTGAATTATTGGGATAGGATTAATAATGATAAAAAATAAAAAAATTATGTTTAATAATGAAGAAAATATAATAATATTATTTATAAACATATTTAAATTTTATTTAATAAATGAAATAGAATCAAAATTTTTATAAAAGCTATTTATATAATTAAAATATAACATTTATGTGAAAAAAGAAATATATAGATTTTTAATTATATTTGTAATTTAATATAAAGATTATTTTTTTTATATTTTTATTTCTTTAATCTTTCCTGTATTTTTTTTTAAAAAAAACACAATATAGAAAAGCATTAGGTGAAAAAAAAAATAGAAATATAATTTTTTTATGATAGAGTTTTTTTTTAAAAAAATACAAAAAAATAAAATTAATAATTTCTAAAAAGAATTAAACCAAATTATATTAAAATAAAAATACCTATTAATATACAAATATATAAACTAAAATAAAATAAAAAAATGGGAAATAAATAATAAATAAATGGTGGTCAAATATTTAAATAGGATAATTTGTAATAACAATTAGATTAATAATATGATTAATCTTATATATATTTAGAAGAAAACACTAAAAAATCATCAAATCAAAACACAACAGCTAAATTAAAAAGCTTTTTAACTTTTAAATGTTTACCAAATCTAAACTGTATAATGTAAATGAGAAACAAATAAGCAATTCCAGATTTATAAAGCCATATTTTATATTACATCGAGAAAGATACTTTAAATATTAAAAACTACAAATGGTTTTCTAGAATATAATCCAATATTTAAAATTATTCCGATAAAAACTATTAGTAGCAATAAATTTTTTAAATAAATAAGGCATCTGAATAAGCTTTATTTTTATCAAATGAGCATAATTACAATTTTAAAAAATAACATAATAAACTCCGAAGATAGCCCATAGGTAACGAACAAGAAATATAATAATCGAATAAGAATAAATAATAGATGACATAGTTGAATAAACAGAAATTTTAAAAGAATCATTTACATAACAAAGGACATCCCTTTTTATTTTTTCATAAAACGAAAAATAATAGGAGAAAATATGTTTTTCAAATATTACGACATAGAATGAGATTTTTGAAAAAAACGATAATATATATAAAAGTATATCAAGATATAAAGCTATTACGAATATTTTAAAGGACCATTTTGTAGATATTGACAGGAATCCAATAGCCTATATGATTAGTGTCTTTTTGGAAAATTTTAATAGTGATTTTCCTAATATTAACTAGAATATAGAAAAAGTGCATTTCAAGAATATTATTAATGAAACTAATACTTTTATTTCCTTTGTTAGCGATTTATTAGGATATTATTATAGACTTGATGAGGAAGTTAAGAATTATAAAAACATGGATAATATTAAAAATGAAACTTTTCTCGATAATTAAAATATTCATAATTTTATTTGTAATTTTTTATTTGAAAACACTTTGTTTTCAAATAAAATTCAAAAGCTTTTTAGCTTTCATTAAGAAAAATTGTAAATAAAACTTAGAAATTAAATCGATAAAAAATATAACTTCACAATGGATGATTTAGGAGTTCCTTAAAAATATTAATTGAATTCTTTATAAAACTAAAGGTTTAAAAAAATCTAATAATTTAATATTCCTTATTAAAAAGCAGTTCTTTAATTAAAAAGAATTTAATTTATTAAATCTCCCCTCTAAAAGCTAAAAGGATATATAAAAGTAACTGAAATTATAGACGAAGAAATTAAATAATTTTATAGTATTTATGAAAGTTAATAAATTATTTAATGTGATAGTGATAATATATTAGCTGTTATGCAATATTTAGTTATTTAAGCTAAATATTATTAATTATTTTAAGATATTTAACAAATCCAATATTTTGTATAAAAAAATTCCCAAATGAGTGTTTCAAGTTATTTGTTGATTATATTATAAAGCTGTATTGAATTATTAATATAAAACTGATATTTTATAATTTCATATTAAATATAATTGTATTTTTATTTTATTTTAATAATATAGATTTGGTTTTATAAACAAAATAAATAAATAAATGTGGCAAAAACAAATAAATAAAAAAAATATAATTTATTTAAATTAAGTTCATAAATTATTTTTTTAATAAATAAAAGAAAACAAATATATAATATATTAAAATAAACAAAAATTAAATAATTTTTTATTTATTTATTTTTAAATTAAAATTTATAAATATTTAAATACAAAATTTTTAAAAAGTACCTCTAAATAAAACTTTTTTTACTATAAAAAAATATTACTATTTTATTGTTAAATCAATTATTTTTTTCAAATTTACATAAAATGCATTAATTTAGGTCTTTGGCATTACGCTTGATAAATATATTAATTTAAATTATTTTTAACAAACTTATTTTAATAATAATTTTCAATTAAATCCGGTTTATATAATTTTATATTTTAAACATTAAATTATGGCTGAAAAAAATATTATCTATGATGATATTCATATTTTTAAAAAATAGCATATTTATTTTATTCATCCTATAAATCTATATTATATTTATATTAAAAATACTATTCATTATATTCTTCTTATTATCTAAGATATTCTTCAGATCTAATTTACTTTTTTTGACACTAATTTAATTAAATATATTAAACTGATTTAGTTATTTATAAAAAAATTTACTATTTAAATATGATCAAATTTTAATTATCTTAAATACGGGTCTATGCTTTTATCTTTTTGTATATCTAAAAGTTAATTTTATATATAAGGAAGATTTATTTATTTAAGTTCAGTATAAATATTAGATTAATGTCTTTTCAATTTATCTTAATCATTTAATGAAGGCTTTAAGCCGTTATCAAATATTCTAAGTGGATTTAAACGTAATTTTTTTTTGTGCTTTTTTTTATTTTTATCTTTTTGTAATACATCCTCATCTTATTTTAATAATTATTCTTGTTTTAAATTATTCTTTATTATTTCCTGATTAGATATAATAGAGCTTGAGTGAGAAATTGTTACTGGGGTATTTACTTAACTACTCTAAACACTATTTTTCATATTTTTAATATAAAATATATAAATATATTAAAAAAATATTAATGCTTATATATACCATATAAAAATATATTCTATACTAATAATTTACTTATAAATTAATTTTTCAGTAAACGCTTATTATAATTAAAAAAATTTCTATTTATATATAGAAAATAAAATATTATAAATAAAAAATTCTAATCTTCTCATTTGTTTAAAAATAAAATTAAAATTTATATTTATTTTGGTCTATAATATTTATGAAAAATCAATAGAAGTAATAAAAAAAAAATTATATATGAATTATAATAAAAAAGTTTATAATTTTTACTATTTAAGAATTAAAAAAATTTAAATAATTTAAAATTTAAAAATAAAAAATAAAGCTTTAAAAATTAATTATTATAAAATATAAAAATTAATAGCTATATCATTATTAAAAATAAACTATATATATATATATATATATATATATATATATATAAAAAAAGAAGATAAAAATTTAATGGACTATTAATAAGTATTTACCCATTAAAATTATAGGTGGGAAAAAAAATAATTATTAGGTTAAGGCATGTTTGGGAAAGTATATAAATGTAAAAATATAAAAACAGGCGAAAAGTTAGCTGTAAAGGTATGGAATTAACAATTTTATAATAGGAAGGCAAAATTAGAAATAAATATTATGAAATCACTTAATAATAAAAATATTGTAAAATTAATAGATTCCTACGTTTCTGAAACGCAAACATATTTATTCATGGAATATTGTGAAGGAGGTGACTTGGATACTTATATGTAAAAAAAGGGAGGAAAACTAGAGGAGATTAATTGCATAGAAATAATAAGCTAAGTAATAAATGGTTTCCGAGAAATAGTATAAAAAGGGTATATCCACAGAGATATAAAACCTTAAAATTTATTAATGAAAAGCAATAATATTATTAAAATTGGTGACTTTGGTTTAGCAGCTAGAATCGATAATTAAAATAATGAATTTTTAAATGATTTTGTAGGAACACAATTATATATGTCGCCTTAAATTTTATAACATTAATCATATAATTAAAAAGCTGATATTTGGTCTATTGGAATAATTTTTTATGAAATTTTATTTGGAAAAACGTAAAGATAAATAAAAATATATATATATTTTTTTATAAAAAAAAAAAAAAAAAATTAATATAGAATTTTTTTTTATTTTGAGACCTTGGCCTTCAAGAGATTTGCAATCATTTTTGAGTAATATTTAAAGCATTCCTTTAAGATTTCCATATGATAAACCTGTTAAAAAAGAAACAAAAGATTTTATTTCAAGGTGTCTTATTTTAAATGAAGATAAAAGAATTAGTTGGGAAGAAGTAAGATTATAATATATATATATATATATATATATAATATATATATATATATATATATATTACAAATAATTAAATTATTTAACTTTTATTAGATATTTTCTAATCCTTTAATTCATTTAGATTAAATATAAAAGTAAATATTTATAATTTAAATTTATATATAATTTTTATTAATCTAAATTAAATTAAAAGGAAAAGCTTAATTTAAGTCTAATTGAATTCATAATTAAGCTATAAAAGTTTAGAAGTTTGTAGTATTAAAAGTCAAGTAGTTCTAGACGAAAAAGCAAAATATATTTTGTATTAAATTCAGTAAGTTATAACTTAATCTAATAAATAAATAAATTCTTATTTAGATGATAATAATAATAACAATACAATTAATAAAGATTTTATAAATGAAGATTAATTTTACTAACTACTATTAAGCATTGATAATAGGATTGCAAAAGATGATTCGAATTATTTATTTTAAAATATAATTCATTAACTATAAAGTGAATAAACAATAACTAGTAGTAATAATTAAAATGAAAAATAAATAAGCATTTAATTGTTTAAAATGATTTTAAATGAATAAAATTATATAGAAATAGAATAAAAAACAATTTAAATATTTAATAGTTTAAAAGGAATTTTTAAACATAAAAATTTTGATTTAAATTTTATTTATAGCAATTATAATGACGAGTCTAAAGAAATTTTAAATTAATAAAAATTTTAATAAATATTAAAAATTTTAAACATTGATCTTTAAAAATATGAAATTAATTGTGTATTTGAAATTTTCGATAAGAAAAAAAATGGAATTGTGACATATTAATAATTTTATTAGATTTTAAATGAATTGGAATAAAAAGATATAAATAAAGATAATTTGTAAAATAAAATAAAATTAGTTTAAAATTTAATAAAGGAAAATAATTTAAATGTTTAAAATATGTTTAATAATTTGAAAAGTTCTAATTAAAATTATTATCTTAATATAAATGATCTAAAAAAATTATTTAGTATTGTTGATAAAGATCTGAATGAAAAATAAATGGAATAAATTTTTAATATTTTTGATATTAATAAAGATGAGAAAATTACTTTTGAAGAATTTAAAAAGATATTATCTTGAATTTTTTGTTTAAAAAAAATTTAAAAAGTTAATAAAAATATTTGCTGTTTTTTTCTATAAGAAAATATTTTATATATTTTATAAAAATATTTAACAATTTTTTATAAATAAAAAAAATATATATTACTTTATTTTTTATATTCTATATACTTTTATTTCTAAAATTATTTTATATATCTTAAATATATAATTTATAAATTAAAAAATGGATAAAAAAAACTCTATAATAGAATAAAAATAAATTAATTAATAAAAGTTCATTTATTATTCTTTTGATTCTTATGTTTTAATTATAAACGAAAATAAATTTACAATGTTCATAAAAAATAAAAATAAATAATTAATTTATGTTATATTTTTATTTTTATTTTTTTAATATAGAGATTTGAATAACTAATAATTAAATCATAATTTAAATAATTAGATATTATATGAACCAGTTTAATATAAGAAAATAATAAAAATACTTTATAATTTATATAAAAATAATAGAAATCATTAATATTAGGAATATATGGAGTTTGTCAATTGATAAAATATAAATATTTAATTATAATTGAAAAAGCTCTTAAAATCGGAAATATAAATGAAAATTAGATTTATTAAATTCAAAAATTAAAATTTTTAGCAATTTAGCCATCCAAAAAGTTATATAAATGCTTATTTTTAAATAAATTATTAAAAATTAAAAAAAAAATATTAATTAGATTACATTAAATAAATTATTTTTAAAAAAAATATATTAATTAGATTACATTAAGATGATTTAATTTTAATTGAGAAAATTGAATAATTAATTTAGAAAAACTGTTTTTATTTTTCACCAACATATGATTTAACAAATTCATTTTAATCAAATTTTTCAAAATATAATAATTAAAATAATAATTATTGTTTTAATTATTGTTTTATGGAATTTTTTAAGAGTTTTGAACATTATAATATTGTTGATAAATTTATATGTGGATATATTAATATATAACATGAACGTTAATTTGTAATTATATAAAAAGAAAAGAAATATTATATTTAAATTAAAAAAAAGAATTGTTAAATCTAACTAGCATTAATTAGTAGAAAAGATAGAAATAGAATAGGAATGAGATTTTAATCTAGAGGGGCTGATAAATAAGGAAACTGCTCGAACTCTAGTTAATAAGAATTAATTATACAAATATCTTAAGTAATAAAATAAAATTTACATATTATAAAATTTGAAATAAATAAATAAAAAAAAGATTAATTGCCAAAAATTATATAGTTATGTATAAATTCGTGGTTCAATACCAATACAATGGAATTAAGATTAAAAAAAAAAACCTTAACCAAAAATAAATATATAAAATAACGAAAATGAAATCCATCATATAGAAATATGTTAAAAACATATATCTTAAATAATATAGGATTATTAAGAATTATAAATATTAAATTTAATTGATAGAAAGGGTGATTAATATATTTTGGGATTATATTTTTAATATATAATCGGACATTTGAAAAATTAATAAAATAATATTTAATTTATTTGGTTTGAATTTCATAAATACATAAAAAAAATTAAGATTTGGTCAAACTTTTTTATTATAATAATAGATTATCTTAAAGTAATAATTATTTTAAATTAGAAAAATATAATCAGAAATTATGTTAAGTAATTTCCATGCAAAAAACATTAATTAGAACTAATTGTATTGATTGCTTGGATAGAACAAATATAGCTTAGTTTGCTATTGCTTAAAAATTTTTGATTGATGTTATTAAATAAAATTAATTAAATTATGTTTAAGAGGCTATTTTATATAAACATAAATTGGCTTGGGTAGGTAATGCTAATATATTAAGTAATTTATACGCTGAAAGTAATGCTTAGAGACAACATTTTCTTTTTGAAAGATAATAGAATAGATTTTTAAATAAAATTAATGATTTTATAATTTCTGCATAAAGATATTACAAGTCTATATTTTATTATTAAAAAATAGAATAAGATTGGTAAGTAATTTTGGGAAAAAAAATAAATACAAATAAAAAATAATACTTTAAATATTTGTAATTGGACAATTTTTTTTTATTTTTTTTAATTATTTTATTTGTGTTATTATTAATTAAAAAAATAATTTGAAAGTATTTACAACATTATTATTTATTAAATAAAAAATAAATATAATTAAAATTTATATGTATTATATTTTTAAAAATTAATAATTTAAATATATAATTTATTTTCAAATATAATTAAATAATATTTAATTTTAAGAATAGATTAAATAATTTTAAAAAATATATGAAAAATAAAATTAAAATATAAATATATTATAATATATATATATATATATATATATATTTATATATATATAATAAATGTAATTTTATACAAATTAACTATTAATTTTTTATTTTTAAATCTATAATAAAAATAGAAATATAAATATATATAATCATTTTACATAAAATTAATTATCAAAAAAGCTTGACATATCTTACATACTTTAATTTTCATTTTAATTAAGATTCTAAAAATAATATTAAATACTTTAATAATTATCATCATATTAAGGATATATTTTTTAATCATTAATATCATTAATTCTTATAGTATGTCCATCAATCATTTAAATTATGGCATTAACTTCATTAATTAATTTATTTTATAATAATTCAATATCTTAAATATATTAAACTCTAAATTTTAGTTTTCCTAAATTTTTTGTATTTTTAAAATACCTAAATGCAATAACCTTAGAATGTATAGTTTAATCTTTGATTTCTTCCAAACTAAAAGTTTATTTATTAGAAATAATTTAATTATCTTTATTAACTAATACAAAGAAAAACACACTCTCATTTTTTTTAAGATTTAGACTAAAAATTTATTAGAAATTAATAATATTATCGCATGAAGGTAGGAACTATTAAGAAAAAAATTCCCTTTCACTAATAATAATTTTTATTTTAATATTTTAGTTAATTTAATCATCTTTTAGACAATAATATTTTTATATTTCTAAAATTAATTAATTTGGGTTCATAAAATCTATTTTAGCATTATTTTCATTTTTATATAAAATATTTGAATTATTTGTTTTTTCTTTATTCTAACTATTTTTATCATATAATTCAAATAAAAGCTATGATTTGTTTCCTGAAGAACCTGAATTATTCATACCCATATCCGATTCTTCAGGATATGATTATTTTTCCTTTTATTTTAATGAAAATGCTTCTGAATTTTCAATTATATTATCTTAATTTTTTTATTTATATAGATTATATTATTTTTTATCTCTTTTAAACTTATTTAGCTAATTTATATAAAATCTCTTTAAATTGTGTAAATTTACAAGTTGAGTTTTTGATATGCTTTATTATATATCTTTAAGTATTTTTTAAGTTTCTTCATTTTTTTGGATTCCATAAAATCTTTGGTCATTTATATGATCAATTGAATATGATTCATCTTGTACAAATGATTCTTGTAATAAATATTAATATTTATTTTAAGTGCATTTATTATCTTAATTGGATTGTATATTAAAAGATAATAAACAACCCATTTTTAAATTTGAGTTTATTTGGTATTATTATTAATTTTTTTTTTTATTAAAATATATTAAATTATATTATGTTTTTTAAAAAAATTTATAAAAAAAATTAGATATTTTTAATATTATACAAGAAAAAATGCAATAATTACTAAAAAATATTAAAAATAGTTAAAAGGAAAAAAAAAATATATAATTATCAAAAAATTAATTAATTTTTTGAAATAATAAACGAATATGGAATATTGATTTAAAATTTTTATTTTTATAAATAAAGATTTGATAGTATTGATTTTATTTAATGTTTCTTATTTTTTATTCATTTTATAACTTACTTTATTAATCTAGCATTATACTATTCATATATACTTCAATAATTTTAAAATTTAACTCTTATTATTTTAATTTTTTTCTAATATCTTTAACATTCCCTTTTTTATGGTTTATAACATATTTTTTTTTCATTAATTGATTATTTTGAACATTAAAAATGTACATTAAAATAGAAAAATGAGTTAATTTTTAATAAAAAAAACATTTAATTATAATCTAATAAAAAATGCTGATTTAAAATAATATCATATTTAAGCATTTAAATATTCATATAATTCCTTTTGCATAATATATTTATTTATAGTTTATTGTTAATTAAATTTTAATCTTGAAAAAAATGTTTTTATTTTTTGTTGAATATAAAAAAGGCTTTTAAAAATTAAAAAAGTTGTTTATGTTATATAAACTATATAATGCTTTTTCTAATTTAGAGTTTTATTTATTATATTATATTTAAAATTTTGTAAAATATTTATATTTTATTTTCTGAAAACAGGCTTATGTAAATTTAATATATTCATGCTAATATATAAGTATATTGATTTTTTTATTATAAATAAGAAAATGTTTAAGTATATTACAAATATAAAAATAAATATAATATAATTATTTAATTATATTTATTTTATTAAAAAAATAAATAGAAAGTTTATTTTTTAGATTATAATTTAAAATAATATATTTTGTATAACAATAAATTTAATATTTATTTAATTATTTTTATTTTCTAATTTTTTTTTTTATTTAATAAATATTATAAATTTAAACATAGAGTTTTAATAATACGTATATTAACCATAATAATTTTACGTATTAAACATTAAAACTGCATATTATTATTTAAAAAATAAAAATCTTATTAAATATTAATATAAAGATTGATTTAAAAAATAAAATATTAAATTTATTGAAGTATAATTATATTTTTTTATTAAAATTATATATAATTCATAAAAATAATTTTTTCAATATATCTAAATTTTAAATATACTAAATATTTTATTTAATTATAAAAAGATATTTTTATATTTTACGAAATTTTTTATCTTTATAATATATAATCACACATTCTAGTTAAAATTAATAATAAAATTAAGTATTGATATAGATTATTTTAAATTATTATTTTAATTTATTTCATTTAAATCGAATTGAGGCATTTCATATAATTTTTTACTGAAATCACCTTAATTAAATTGTTTATTATCATTTAATAATCTAAAGAAAAGCCATAAAATTTATTCATTGTTTTCATTAAATAATTCAAAAATAATAAATATTTATTCAAGTTTTTTTTCATATTTTTCTTACAAAAACTTTATATCGAAATTAATATTGTATTTTTCATAAAACTAAACCTATTTATTATCTACATTATGAAAATTTCCATAAAATTAACATATTTTATTATTCTAATCTTTTAAAATTACATTATTGCATACAATATAAACTTTTAGTCGAACTTCTTCACATTGTTTTTGGAAATTAATCAATTATTAAACAGCAATAATGATATTTTATTAAACTCTTTAAGTTTTTTATAATTAAAAAGGAATATCTTAAATTAGTTAACTTTATTATGCATTAATATTAGAAATTTATTGTTTTAAAATTGGATTTTATCTTTTAAAAAGTTGACATTATATAAAAAAATATAATATATATTTATAAAATAAAATACTTTAATAAATAAGAATCGTTTTAATCATTACAATCATTATTGTAAAAATTAATACTGTATTATATTTTAATATTTGATTTTATATAATTTTTGCTAAACGGAGGTTATTTTGAAGGGCCTATAAATAAATAATTTATAAAATCACCAGTATTAATTCCATATTATTAATTTATTTTAATAAAAAGAGGTTAAATAAGCCAACAAATAGAATTAGTATTACAAAATAAATTTATATGAATATAAATTTATTTTAATTATTATTATGAGTATTTGTATTAAATATCTTAGATATTTATATCGAATATGGCTTTTTAAATAAATTATTAATTAAAAAATTATATTTTTTATTAACAAATACAACCTAAATTATCTTAAAGTATATTCAAACCATCATATAAAGTAATAACACATGTAATTTAATAAATTAATAATTAATCTATATTAAATAAAGATTATAATATAATATTAATGCCTTTAAAATTTAAAATTTAATAATAATTATTTGAATTTAAATTAAATTATTCCTTAAAAAAAAAATATTTATAAATATATATAAAATATATATAAATAAAAATAAAATATAAAAATATATATAATAAATTTATATTTTTTTATTTAATAATTAATAATTATATATATATATATAGTATTTTTCAAATACATTATTTTCTTATTATTCTTAAATAGAATCTTATTCTTAAATATCAATTTGTTTTTATTAATTTATTTTTTATAATTCAATAAGTCTTTCTTCTTCTTTTTATAATTTTTTTTTTTATATTAGTTAATATTCCTTTTTTTATTTTTCTATTGAAATTTAATATTTTTATATTTTTTTATCATCTAAATTTTAATAAACAGATCTTAAATGAAAATATTATATTTTATATTATGATTTTATAAAGATTTAATTATTACAATCTAAATAAATATCATTAGGATGACAAATTCTAATATAAAAAAAACTATCTTCAATTTATTCTAAACCTTATTCTATTAATAATTAAGGATTATTTATAACACTATATAAAGGTAATTTAAATTTTCCAGAATGTAATTATTTACTATTTAAAAAAATTTCATGCATAGTAAATGACTAAAAATTTAAATAAATTATTATTAGAATTTATATAAAAAACATATAAAATATATATATATATATATATATATATATATATATATATATTTTATATATTTATTCATATATATATATTATTTTATATTATATGTATTACTCTTTTTTAAAATTTACGTTTTATAATATTTTTATCATTTGAAAATATTTCAAAATAAATTATTGATTTAGGGTCATTATTTATATTTTTAATATTTTAACTTTCTCCAAAAACACACTCTTGAACTTATCTTTAATTATCAAATTAACATTCATAAATTTTAGTCTTCATATAAGGATCTAAACTCAATCCTTTCTTAAAAACTCCATATTTAATTTAAATTTCAAAAAAACTATCTGGAATGTTTTCCATAAAATCAAATATTAACATAAAACCTTCAGCTTGTATATAATTATTATTTCTTTATACAAAAGATTGTCCAATATTTGAATAATCAACTAAAATAGAGTTATTTCTTGTATTTGTTTTATAATAATTATATAGACTTTATGAATTTTTTATATCTTGTATTTTCTCTTCTATTAAGCTTTATTAAGTTATTTATTTAATTTTTTGTATTTCGTTTTATTTTTGTTTTATTTTTTAATATTCTTGTGTATTTTAATCATATTTTAACATTTCTAGTACTAATTCATCTTCTTATTTGAATAAATATTAAAGAAAATATTCTTTTTAATATAATTTATTATTTCTTTATTTTTATTAAAAAAAAAAATATATAAATAATTTTTTTATTATTATTTTTATATTTATTAATTATTACTATGATTAATTTTTAAAATATGTTCTTTAATTAATTGGGAGTGTTAATTAATTTTTATTGTGTAATATTTAATAATTTAATGTTTAGTTTTCTAAAGATTCTTATAAGAAACCTTATTAAGTATTTTATAATTAATTTGCTTTTTATATTTTAGCAACAAAATTAATTTATATTTTTTTTTTTTTAAAAAAAAAGAAATACTTATTTAATTATTCGTCTGTTTAATATTATATTATAATTTTCTTTCTTTTTTTTGATTTAAAAATATAAATATTTTACATAGTCTAATGAGTTTATAACACTTTATCCTATTTTTTAAAACTGATACATTTTTATATATTTTTTTTAAAAAAAAATTCTAATAATAATTATTTAAACAAAAAAAAATTAAAAATTATAATTATTTTTATAATTTACTTATTAAAAAAAAAAATTAAATTTATTATTTTTATATTAAAAAATTCAATTAAAATAAAAAAAATTCAATTTTTATACATTTTTTTTATTTCATATAATATTTTTTAAATAAAAAAAAAATAAAGAAATAATTAAATAAAAATTTTATAATAATAATAAAATATAATAACTTTAAAAAATATTTAAAGTTATTATTTCATAAATAAAATTATTTACAATATAAAATATATATAATTAATTATATATTATTTATTATATACATATATATAAATAAATAGATATTTATTATCTTTATTTATTATTTTTAAAATTTATATATATTTAATTATCATAATATTTCATTTTTTATTTTTTTAAGTTTCTTAATTTTTTTACTGAATTAGTTAGTTTATAATTTTAATCACTATAATCAAAGATAGTTCTTAATTTGAAATGCGATATACAAAAAAATGATTATATATATTTACTTAATATTAATTTATTTATTAAATAACATATTTTTAAGAAAAAATTGTTATAAAACTGATAAAAATAAATAGTAAAGATACATTTTATATTTAAAATAATATAAAGTTTAACAGAGAAGTTTTATTATATCATATAATTTTTATTTTAATATCACAATTAATTATATATAAAAATTAAATTTATCCATTTAATATAAAAATAAATCGAATAATATTTATATATTTTTTCGATATTATAAAATAAGTTACTTTTATATGATAATAATAATTGTATATATTTAGAAAAATATATATAAGTATATAAATATTGATAAATATATATATATATATATTATATATATATATATATATATTTTTATTTAATTTATTTATAAATATTTACAATTTTTTAAAAAATTAATATCTATAATTTTTAATATTAAATATATTTTTTAAATTTTTCTTTCAAATATTATAATACATATTTAATTTTGTATATTTATTATTTTAAACTTTTAATTTAATATTTATTTTTTAATATTTAAAATAATTTAAATTTTAATTTCTATTTTATTTCAAAATATTGTATATATTTTTTTTTTTATTTATTTATAAATATATTTTTTATAAAATGTATAATTAAGATTTTTTGAAATTATTATAAAAATATGAAAAACCTTAATCTAAATAAAAAACAGACTCAATTTCTTAATAATAATAATAATAATTCTATAATATATGTACCGATAAAATAGTTTCCAATTAAAACTCTAATAATGAAATAGAAAATTAAATACTTGATGAAGAATATTAAATTGAAAAATAAGAAATTGAACAAACATTAAACACATAAACCGAGACAATTTTTGATATAATTAACCCATAATAATTAGTTTTTAAAAAAAATTAAAAGCACGATTTAGAACCGGAAGAAACTGACGAATTACCTGATTTTTTAAAAATTCTTAAAGATAAAAATGGTAATAACGTAAATTAAAAAGATTACGATAAAAGTTCACTTTTAATATCTTATGAATAATTAAAAAGGCAAAAGCCTATTATGTAATAATATTGGCAAATAAAAAGCTAATATTTTGATACTTTAATATTATTTAAAATTGCAAGATTCTATGAAGCATACTATTAAGATGCTTAAATATGTGTTTTTGTATTAAATCCAAAATATATAAAGAAAAATAAAGTGGGCTTTCCAGAAGAAGTGCTAGAAAATTATTTATTTTTATTAACATAAAATGGATATAAAGTAGGTTTAGTTGAATAAATAGAAACTGAAAAATAACAAAAAAAAGAATTTCTTAATAAAAAGCTTAATGGGGATTTATAAATGAAGTTGATAAATTAATGTAAAGATAACTTGTGAGTATATTTTCTAAAGGAACAGTTTGTATTTAATCTTTTGGAAATTTAAAAAAATTTAAAAGTAGTATTATGTTAAGTATTTTTTAAGAAAAACCTATTTAAACAACTATTCTAAATGAATAAAAATAAATTATTAAATATTAATTTTGTATATATGATGTTTTAAGCGGAAGTGTTTTTTCGATTTTTTTTTAGAGGATGAGGATTAAATGTAGGAAATGAAAAATATTCTTTTTTTTTATAATCCATTAGAAATTCTTGTTTTTTCGGAAATTATTTATAAAGAGAATTTTTTAAAGACATTAAATTTATTACCTTCTAAGCCTTTAATTAATTTTATTAATTTAAAAATAAACGAAAAAGTTGATATCCCGGATTTTTTAAAGCAAAATAATTCAGAAAATAAAGCAGTTATTATACTTTGTAAATATTTAAACGAAAATCTTATTTCTTAATAAACTATTAAAAATGGGTTTTTGGAAATAAATTTTAAAGAAAAAACATAAAATTAAAATAAACTTGTTTTAGATAAATAAACTCTTTTTAATTTAAATATTTATGACGGATAGTTTTTTAATTAATAGAAAAATAATTAAATAAATACGCTTTTTGATATTCTTAATAATACAGTTACTGCTTTTGGTGAAAGAATGCTCCAAAAATGGACTTGTTTTCCTTTAATAGATAAATAAGAAATCGAATAAAGACAAAACTGTATATAAGATTTATAAAATAATAATGAATTAATTCTTTCTTTTTAAAAAGAAATGGCTAAATTACTAGACTTATAAAATATTCTTGTATCTTTATTTAGTTATAGATTTTAAAATAAAAGCAGGTTAAATATATATATATATATACAAATATTTTTATTTCTTTTAGATAGAGGTGTTTATTTTGATAATATAAGTTAAATAAGATTAAAATAACTAAAGAATTTCTTTGAAAATATTAAATTTATACTTTTTTAATTAAAAGAAGCTTTTTAAGATTGTTAATATATATTCTAAACACCTTATTTAATAAATTTAGTAAGTCCAGCAAATTTCTAATAAATTTCTATTGAAATTAAAAACATAGAGAATAAAATTTAATGGCTAAAAGAATCTAAAATACCTACTCCATCTCCTAAAACCTGTCCTTAGTATGATAAAAAAGTCGAAGAATTAAAAAACTTAGAAAATTAACTCAATATATATCTAGAAGATATAAAAAAATTATATGATAATGACTAAAGGATTATTTATTCGCACCAAAAAGGTCCCTTTTAGCTTGAATTTCCTATTTAAATAATAAAAAAATACGGAAAGCTTTCCCATTTTGAATTAGTTTCTATAACAAAAACCACTTAGAGATTTTACACAAAAGAACTTATTTTTTTAATTGAAAAAGTAGAGTATTTAGAAGACGAAATAAAGTAGATTCTTGCAAATTTCGTAAGTGAGATATTCGAAGAAGTTTTTTAAAAAAGGCACTTTTTTAAAAATTTAATTTCCACACTATCAGAACTAGATTGTTTAATTTCTTTAAATATTTTTTCTTAAAAAAAAACAAAACCAATAATAATATAAGAATAAAATACATAAAATTTCGTATAAATAATAAAAGGAAAATATCCCTTAATATAATAAAATAATAAAAACAAAGAATATGTACCTAATAATATTTTTTTATCATTTCAAAAATAAAATATAAACTGTTCTAATTAATTATCATACTAAGCTTATATTATCACAGGACCTAATATGGGCGGAAAATCAACTACATTAAGAATGGTTGCTCTTAATGTTATTTTGGCTTAAATAGGTTGCTTTTTACCTTGTGAATATATGATTTTGACACCTTTTGAAAACATTTTTTCTCGGATAGGGATGTCTGAATTACTTGAATATGGAAAAAGTACATTCTATATAGAATTAGAAGAAACTCTTTAGATAATAAATAAAGCAAATAATAAAAGTTTAGTCCTTATTGATGAATTAGGAAGAGGTATATAATATATTTATATATATGTATATATATATATATATATATATATATATATATTCATACATATATATATATATTATAATAATTTTATATTTTTTTCTAATTAACTCAATAAAACAAAAAATGGAAATATATTTTGCGTATAGGTACTTCTACTTATGATGGTGTCTGTTTTGCTATTAGCGTTTTAAAATATTTACTTGAAAAAAATATGGGATTAATTATGTTTTGTACCAATTAGAATTTACTTTTGGATTTATTTAGGGGTTTTCAGAATGTTGGCTTATTTAGAATGGACTTTAAATTTGCAAATAATAATTATTAAAATATTTAGTTTTTGTATAAATTAGTAGAAGGTGAATGTATGAATGTTTAGGCTTTTAATTTACTTGAATATGTAGGATTTGATCATTAAATTATTTTTGAAAGTCAATATAGAAGTTCTTTGATGTTTCTGAATAATTTATTTCAAATTGGGAATTAGTGATTATATATTTTATTTTAGAATATTAAATTTTTATTTTAAGTATATAAATAATATTATGTTTACATGCATATTTATGAATTAGTTTTTTTTATTTAAATATATATATAATGTATAAATTTAAAACTAAAAATTCATATATAAAAATATATACTATTAAATACAATAAAAATACTAAATAGAATGTTCTTTAAAAGAAATTATTCTTTTTGTTCTACTTTTCATAATATTAGGGTTAGATATTCATTAAACCCTTATAATCATATGAATATGAATCATTTAAGGTCTGCAATTTTAAATTTTATATTTGCCAGAAGCAAAGGTGGTTCATTTGTTTTAAGAATAGATGATTTAGATTAAAAGCCTAATTAATAGAATTTCTTTAAAAATCAAATAAATATATTATAATAATCAGGCATATAATGGGATGAAGGTAATTTAGATTATATACAAATATTTTTTTTTGTTAAAAAAAAAAAATATTAAATATATATAGGTCCATATAATTAATTTACTGAAAACGAAGGTAAATATGGTCCATATTTCTGTAGTTAAAGAAAGAATATATACCAGGATTATTCAGAAAAATTAATAAAAGAGAAAAAAGCTTTCAGATGTTTTTGTTCACACGACGAAATAAAAAAATTTAAATAAATGTAATAAAATAACTAATTTATTTACGAAGGAACTTGTTTAAAACTCACAGAAGAATAAATAGAAGTAAAATTATAAAAAAAAACTCCTTATACAGTACGTTTAAATACTTCCTAAGAACAAATACAATAAAATTAAAAATATAAAGATTCATTATAAAACTAATAAGAATTTTAAATACATTCATCTTTATTAACTTATTTTGTTATTATTAAAACTGATGGAAACCCAACTTTTCCTTTTGCAAATGCCGTAGATGATTATGTAATGAAATTTACTCATATTATAAGAGAAAATAACTGGATGAGGGATATTCCTAAATAAAAAATAATTTATTAATAACTTGGGATTGAATACGTTCCTATTTTTATGCATTTACCTGATTATAAAGGAGTATTTATATTTTTTCTTAAATATATAAATATATATAATTATATAGATAAATGGTCAATAATTAGATAATAAACAATCTTATTAATTATTAAATATATAGAATTTATTAGATTAGGGAGTTATTTTTGAAAGTCTTAGTAGTTACGTGCTTTCTTCTTTTTAAAAAAAAGGTGAAAAAAAAAAAGAAGAAGAAGAAAAAAAATAAAATTCAAAAAATAACCTAATAGAAAATAAATTTGATGAAATAAAAAAAGAAATAAAATAAATTAATAATGTTATAAATGATTTTTCTATATAAAATATTAAGGAAAAAGATGAATAATTCGATGGAGAGAAATTGCTTTATTTAAACAAATATTTTATAAGGGAAAAATATTCTCTTTTATTCTAGCCTATAGAGAAAATTGAAATCGAATAAATACATGAAAGATCTAATTTAGTGAAAGATTTTAAACAAAGATTAAAGGAAAATATGCCTAAACATTTGCACTAAGAAATTGATAAAACAGAAGAACATTAAATAATTTAAATTTGTGAAATTATTACTAATAGAATTAGGACTTTTAAAGAAATGAAAAGATTCTATTTTTTTTTTAAAGAACCTGATTTTGAAAATGACTATTTATCTTAAAAATCTAAAGATATTTTAATGAAAAACTAGGATGATATAGATAAATGTATTTAGGCTTTGAAAGATATTATAACCATTTTTAATAAAAATATTAATTAAAATGAATTTAAGGAAAATATTATAAATAATAGTATTTTTAAATATTCTTAAACTATCAAAAGTAAAGAATTTTAAAATAATATTTTGCCTTTATCTAGATTTGCATTTACAGGATATTATCATAATTATCCTATCGGATTAACTTGTGAAATTCTTGGATAAAAAAATAGTATTAAAAGGTTAGGTTTGTGTTTAAAATATTTAAATTCTATCAAAATAAAAATATGATAAATTTTTTTATTTTATATAAACTTTTTGTAAATTTGATATATTTTATATGCAGTATTTTTATTTAAAAAATTTATCTTTAATCTAAAGTATTATATAATTATAATAATAAAAAAAAAATTATAAAAATATTTAATTTTAAAATTTTTATATTTTTATATATATATATATATATATATAAATATAAATATATATTTATATATATATTTTAATAAATTTAATTTTTTATATTTTTTATTTTTTTAATTTTATTTCCAATAAGAATATATATATATATAAATAATTTTTTTGTTTTAAGAGAAATGTTAATTTTTTTTTTTAATTATTTAAAATATAAATCCATAAAAAAATTAAAACAGTTTTTCTATTTTTTACTTATTCTTTAAATAAATATATAAATTTTTATTTTTGTTTAAATATAATTAAAATATTTTTTATTAATTATAAAAATATCAAATATCTTCATCATATATATACTTTTCTAAATTTTATACAGTATTTTTATTCTCAGGTTCTAAAATTAAGCATCTAAACCTTAAATTTTTTTCATTATACCAACTATAACTATTGTTAAACTCAATTTAGAAAATTCCTGGTTTTTCAACCAAAAGTAGTACTTTATGAGGATTTAGTGAACAATTAATTCTTTCATCCAAATAAACAATATTCAAATTTTTATTTTATAAATTAACGTTACTAATTTTAACACCTATATCATATTTTAATGTTGCGAATCCTATATATAAAATACTAAAAGGGATTTTTATTTCCACATTATATATATAACCTTTAAAAGCAAAAAAAAAAAAAAATTAAAAAAAAAAAAATATATAAATTAATTATTACATTTTTCGGCTTCAATAATATAAGATTATGCAAAAGTATTTCTCATAATTAAATTTTAAAAAAGTTAAATATTTGTATTAAAAATAGTATCTTAAATATATTTTTTATTAAAAAATTCAGATTAAATGAGTTCAAATATTTTTCCATTTTTTTAATTTTAAATAATATCCTAAAATTCATCTTATATTTCAAATAGAAAAGTCGCTGCTAATTATACATTTTCTTTCTCGACATTTTAAAAAGCCGAAATTATTGGATTTTATAAATTTTCTCGAAATAAAGGAAAAGACTTGTAAATAATTCTTAAAATATTTAGACAATATTTCACTATTTCTTAATCTTTTGGAAATAAAAGTAAACAATTTACTACTAAAGCTAAATTTCCATAAATAGAGTCTATATTTTTTAATACATTATTAATTCCTAAAATTTCATAATTCATAACAAATTCAATTTATCTATTCTACTATAAAATATATATAAATATATATTCATATTTATATTTAAACTTATTTTTATTCTTTTTCTTAAGAAGTATTTTTTTTATATATATATTCTTCATCTAAATGTAAAAAAAACTTAAATTTTTGCAAACTTTTTGGTTTTTCGAATTCTACTTTAACTTTGGGATAAACTATTAAAGTCAGTATAAATTTACTTAAATATATTATAAAATCTCTAATTTATTTTTCTTATTTTTCCATTTTTAATGGAATTCTACATAATGTTCTCATTATTTAAGAAATTTAACAAAAAAGATCTATTTATTAAGAATAATTTTCACAATCTGAAAAAACATCCAATAATAATTCCAAAGCCTATATTTTTTTTCCAAAATCAGTACTTTCAGATAGATAAAGGACATCATTTAATTTATTTTTTTTATTATCTTATTTTTATATTGAATTATTATTTTCGGCATAATTTTAATAATCGATTTCATTTTTTGGATTAATTTAAATTATAAAATTTATTATTTTTTTTAAATAAGTACATACTTCTAAACCATTTAATATATTTATGCAATTCCATATAATATTTATCAAATTAATTTATGTAGTAGGTTTTTCTATTTTTTATATCAACTCATTTTTGAATAATTAGACTATTATTTGACTTGATTTATAGGATTTATTGTATTAATTATTATCATTTTATAATATATTTATTAATTTTTATATTTCTTTATCTAAAAATTAAGGAAAAATTTATTATTCATTATTATTATCTATATTCTAAATATTTTAATCTTTTTTTTATTATAAATTGATTTGCATTTTTTCTATTTAATTGTATAATTCTTAAGTGAATTAATTTAAATTTTCGTTTGTAATATTTGGATCATTTACTATTCTATCTATTTCTTATATAATTATATCCATTTTTAAAATTTTTATATATAATTATATATATAATATATCCTTTATTTACCTTTATTATATTATATAGATTTTTAAATCAAAATTATAAAAACAAAAATATTTATTATAATATTAATACATTTTTGATAATAATAAAGATAATTATTATAATGCTAAAATATTATAAATAAAAAAAATAATCAAATTAAAAAAAAAATACATAATAATATTTTACAAAATGCTTAAATATTTAGATTTTTTTAATTAAAGTAAAAAATAATTAATTTATAGCACTTTTAAAATATAATGTTTTTTATTATTTAAAAATTACAAATATCTTAATAAAACTATTCAATAATTTAAATAAATAATCTTAACAATCTAAGCAATATTTTAAAATTTAAAATATTACTAATAATCAAGATCATTAAAGGAGTTTAAAACAAAATCAAATACAGTTATTTAAAATAACATTATATTTTAATGTATTCTTTTTAAAAAAAGGTTTATTTTTCATTTAAATAAATAATTATTGCAATAAATGTTGCTTTTTAATGAATATTAAAATTTATTTTGATATATTATATTTATTTATTAAATATTTATATAAACTTATATTTAAATATAAAAATAAATAGATTTATTAATATTTATATTTAAATTCTATTATATTTATAATATTTAAATTAATTTATATCTATTTTTTATTTTTTTATTATATATATATATATATATATGGTTTATAATATATATTTTAAAACACATAATATAATTAAAAAAATAGATTTTCTATAATATAATTATTTTTATTTAATTAAAGTATATTATATAATTTATTAAATAATTTTGTAAAATAAATATAAATTTTAAATATATTAATTTTCTTTTTTACAAAAAATATATAAATTTTATATTTTAAATATTTTAAATTTATTAAATATATATTATAAATTTGAAAAAAAATTCATTTATTTAATTTAAATTAAAATCATATATAATGTTAAAGATATATAATATTTATATATTTTAAATAAATAACTTTACATTAATTATTAAAAAGTAAATAATAATATATTTTATATCTAATACTTTTATTTATTTTGTAAAATATTAGAATTTTTTATAAATTTAAAAATAATTAATTGAGTTAAAAGTAGGTTAGAAATTTAAAGACCTTAGGAAAAATTAATTGAGCACTGAATACTTATTATTAAAATAAAAAATAGATTAATAACGAAAAATCCACTTTTAAAAAATTTTATAAAAATATAATGATAGTTTATATTTTTCTTTTCCAATTATTATATTTTATTTTTAAAAAATAAATGTTAATATAGACTTATTAATTTCTAATTTAAAATTTTAATTACTATAATAATAAAAGGCTATATTTTGTAATTATATATAAATTTTATTATTACCTTTTGATATTTTAAACAAAAATAAAAACTTTTTAATTAAAATTATTTTATTAATGTTTAGAAATATTTTTCTTTTTTAATATTTAATATTGTTTTGATATTTTTAATGTATTGTTTTAGTAAAAATATTATTTTTTTTCTATAAAAAAAATATTGGATAATTACTAAACTTTAAATATAGATTAAAAATAAATAAATAGACTATTATTATGAATTGTTAATAATTATATAAAAAAAATTGTACAATAAAATATTATTTTTATTTAACTTATTTATTCCTATTTTTATATTAACAAAGACAAAAAAATGGAGAAAAAATAAATAACTAATTTTTTTTTTACGATTGAATTTTTAATAAAATATTAAAGAAAAAAATCAATATAAACATAATATATATATATATATATATATATATATATATTTATTTTTATAAGTATTTCTTTTTTTAATTTATTTTAGTAAAATACACATAAATCTTCTTTATATTAAATTTAAAAAGACATTTATTTATTTTTATAATTATTTTGAAAAAATTAAGGTTATTTTAATAATTTTATTTTATAATATTTAATAAAAATAACATTTAAAGTTAAATAAAAAATGAATAAATTAGATAATTTAAAAAATAAGGATTGTTTGTATATTTAAATATATTAAGATTACACAGAAAAAATTGCCTTTAGAAATGCGATCATTTGGTAGAAATATTTAAAATAATATAAATTTATAATATAATATTAATAATAATATTATTTTAATAAATTTTTAATATAAAAAGGAAATGCATATGTCTAATAAGAATTTAAATAGCATTAAAAAGCTAGTGATAAATAATATGAAATGTTTTTATAATAATGGTATTTAAAATAATTATTAATTTTTTTAACATTATAAAATATTATATTGCATAAAAAAAAAAAAACCAAAAAAAAAAAAGGGAAAATTATGTTTAAGATTTATAAAAAATGAAAAATATATAATAAATAGGAAAAAATATTCAAGAAGAAGAAAGCAATTTATTAACAGATGAATAAAAAAAAACCTTAAAATAATTAAAGGAGGAAACATTAAAAAGTCTAAATAATAAATGATTTTTTTGTTAAAACAAAAATAATTCACATAAAAATATTTAAAATAAAATTTTGTGTATAAGTATTTTTTTTTTTAATTAAAAAAAAAAAATCAATTTAACTAAATCACACTTTATTTATTTTTACTTTTCCAGAATTTAATCTAACTATCATATCCAAAACTAACTAAATTTCCACCTTTTAAATATAACAAGCTCCTTGGAAAGCTTTTATGTCCAAATAAATTAGAAATTAAACTCCCATTACCAAAATCAACTACTGCAATACTCATATTTTCTCCACAAGCAACAATTGAATTCCCATCATTCATAAGTCTAATATCCCAAATACAAAAATTAACACAATTAACAACTTTAATTTATTCCTAATTTTCCCAATTCCACAAAATTAAATTTTTATCATCTCCTCCACTAATAATTAAATTTTAATCTTCAGAAAATTTAGCAATTGAATTTACTTAATTTTTATGTCCTTTAAGTGTACAAAAGCATTCAAATCTTTTTATATTCCAAATTTTAATATTATTATCAGCCGAACAACTGGCAATAATACTTTCTTATTATAAAGCAATAACTTAAAAAACACCATTTTTATGTCCCATTAAAGTACCCTGAGGAGTATCAGAAGTAGAGTCGAAAGCCCATATCTTAATTGAATTATCAAATGAGCAAGAACTATAAAATTTTGGATTTAATTATTACAAATTCATTATATAATCAGTATGTGCTGTAAATGATTTAAAATTTTCAGAATCTTCAATATCCCAGAATTTTATTTGCATATCAGCGCCTCCAGTTATAACTATAGTATCATGGTAATGTAATATGGACATTACAGATTTAGAATGAGCAGTAAATTCGTTAATTATTTAATTCAACAAACGATCATAAATTAAAATTTTATTGCCAGGATTGCCTGTACCAAAAGCGAGTGTTTATTTATCAATTTCACAACCACATAAAATAGGTTCTAATGATCTTGAATATGTTTTATAATTTATAATTCTTTTAGAATTCCATATTTATATATTTTAATCAATATTTTCTTACTATAAAAATATATATATATATATATATATATATATTTATATATTTATATAAATTTATATTTTTAAAAACTTTTTAATAAATTACTTCGTTATCTATTTATTCGTTTTATACTTCGTGTATTTTCATTAATTAATCTTCGATTAAATTTTATATATCTGGTTTTATTTATTTAAGTATTTAAATATTATTTTCGTTTTCAAATTCTTTTATATATTAATTAATATTGGTGAAATTTTATATTGATTCATCTATTTTTTTCTAATTTGGAAAATCAAGAATTTTAAATATAATTTGATTCATTTCTTCATAATCTTTTACTTCGAAAATCTTTTGTATTTCCTAGTCTATATCAAAATATATTTCCTTCAATTAATTTCCTAAATAATCAAGTACATCCTTAACTTTATTATAGTTTTATTCTTTTTGTTATAATATTTTTTATTTTGAAGTATTTATTTAATCTAAAATTTAATTTATTAACAACTAATATTCGTTTTCGACAGTTTATACGGCCATATTATATGCGAAATCCAGTTTATTATTAAAATATTTTTTTTATTCTAAAAAATGTTCAATTTCAGTCATTTATTAATCTTTAACCATTTTTTTCTGTTTTTTTTATTTAAAAAAATCACTGAAACTTTTCGCATATTTCTTCAATGGAGCATGATCATTTTAAATACATAAATCACATAAGAGCCTTTTATTACAACTTTTTACTGTACAAACTTTATTTACTAATGTATGTCCTTACCTATCGCATTATATTTATGGAATATTTTTATCTATCTCTTCTATACTTATAGTTTTTTAAGTCTATTCTATTTGTTTTTCAGTTTCTTACTGTTTTTTGGAAATCTCAAGATTCATTTCTATATATATTTCTTTATTTTTTAATTATAAAACCTAAGGGGAATTTAAATTTATATTTTTTTCGTATTCATTTTATAATGGTTGTTCAGTCATTTATATATGGTTTTTTATTTTTAATTGATTTTGCTGTTTTTTTCAATATATTAATAAATAATTGATAATTATTTTGATGAATATATTTTTTATTATTGCAATTGGTTTTAAAAAACTATTATAATTTTTTTTTTATTTTTTTTTATAAAAGAAAGAAAAATAATGTATTTTTTAATTAAAAACTTATATTAAAATATATTTTCAATTAATAAATAATTTTTTTTAAAAATAAAATAAAAAAATAGTTACAAAAAAAAAAGATGATTAATATTTAAAGAACAATAAAAAAGAACGACTAATACCAATTATCAGAACAATATGCTAAAAAATTAGATAGTGTGTCACGTATAACCAATTGGCATGAAAGCAAAGTTAAATATGATGCTTCAAATAAAAATAAGTATAATAAAAAAATTATTGATGAAGAAATGAAATATGCTCTTAAAGAACTTAAAATGTCCAGAAATGCTAAATTAAAAATTTTATATGAAGGCGAATCAAAACAATGGGAGAATGAATTAGCTTAAAAAGGATTAGCTATATATAAGAATAAAAACTGAAATAAATATATAAAAAAATATTAATACATAAAAATATGAAAAAATAAAAATTATATTAAAATATGATATGTTAAGATTATTTGAAAAATATATATTTTTTTTTTTTTCTAATCAATTTTCTTCTTCTTCTTTTTAATTTTCTTCCTATTCTTCTTATTCTTCTTCCTCTTCTTCTTCTTAATAAGGCTTTTTTTATTTTAATTAAATATTTCTAATAATATTAAAATATAAAAATATACTGATTTCCCTCTTAAAAAAATACGCAAATCACCTCCAATTTCTTTTTTGGGATTATATAATTTATCAGTAAAATATACTCTTCTTAGTCTACAATTTGCATTAAAAATTAAATGAGTAACTTCTTTTAAATTAGTACCGTAAGATTTTTAATTAATATTTTAAATATTAAACACGAAATGGTTCCATCCATCATTCATTTTAAGTTTGGCATTAACAATAGTACTTTTAACAATCGTATTTTTTTAAAAATTACTAAATTTAAATCTTCTTTTTTCTTTTTTATCATCTAAAATTCTAATTTCAAATGAAAAATCTTACTTCATCTTTTTTTTTAATTTTTTTTTATTTTTATTTTAAAAAAAAATAAAAAAATTTACATTCTTAACTAATATGTGTAAAAAAGGTGTTTTTAAACCAAAAGTTTAATTTTAATTTGGAGCTATAATATAATTTGTTGTTATATTTGTCCCATAAATTTCTATTACTTATGATAATAAATCTTCATCTTTTACAACTTTAATATGACCATTTTAACCTTTTTTTAAAAAACAATTTTTTTTTTATATTTTTCATTCTTTTTTTAAAGTTTTAACATTTTTAATCCCATATTTATAATGGCTTAGACCTAAAATTAAAGTATTTATCTTAAAAATTTTCTTATTTTTGATTTATACCCTATACTATATAAAACTGATATTACTCCAACTTGCAACGATTCTGAAAACATTAAAAAAAATTAAATTTATTTATAATATATATATATATATATATATATATATTATTCAAAAAAAAAATTAATTAAAATTAAATAATTTTTTTTAATTAATCTAAAATATTTAATAAATATTAAAATTAGATTAATATTTATAAATAAAAAAATAGATCATTTTACAATAAAAAAATGAATATTAAATAAATAAATTTTTAAATAATATTAAATATAAATATTTTACTTTTTTTTTTTTTGTTTCTGTAATTTTTTTAAAAAACTCAATAAAATAAAAAAACTTATATAAAAATAAATAATTGATTATCATTTTTTTTTTAATTGATTAAGTTTTTAAATTACAGAAAAAATGAAAAAGCATCATTAAAAATAAAATAATAATTATTTAATAAATAATGATTTTTTGAAATTTTCATTAATTAATATGAAGCACAATTGTTTTAATTTTTTATTATATTTTAAGAATCCTTTTAAAAAAAATTAAAAAGATTTTTTTTATTATATTTTCTTTATTATGTTTATAATAATATTATTATATTAAATAATATGAGTATAGTATTTTTTTTTCTTCTTAAAAAATAATTTTCTTTTCTTTTAATATTAATATTATAAGGGTTTTAAATTTTATTAGGATTAATTTATTAAAAAACCGATTTTTTCATAAAAAATATTTCAAATAAAAATTTGTATTTTTATAAATTAAATTCAAACTTTATGCAGAATTAATAATACTTTCTTAATTTTTTCTTGAAAAATTAATAAGCGAATCATTCATTTTAATTTTTTTAAATAAATAAAATATTAAGGTTTAAAAAAAATTTAAAATAGAAATATATATTCGTCTTTATTCTAAATTTAAAATTAAGATTAAAAACATAATTAATGGTACCTATATCAAAAATATACTATTAAATATATTAATATAATAAGTATAAGAAGCAAATAATTTTATTATAATAAATAATATTAATAAAAAAGAAAATATTTTAAAATTAAATTAAATTAATTTAATTAAATAAAATAATATCTTATATTTAAAAAAATATTATTTTCTGTATTAAATTGATAAATTTTGAAAGAATTTAAAATAATAATAAAAAAATTAATTAAATATATTTATATATATATATATATATATAGTTTATATAAATGAAATATTTAAAAGGCTTAGGATTATATAATTTTGATGATTGATTGATATAAATTTTTTATATTATTTTTTTATTAAAAAATAATTAAATATTTAAAAAGAAAATTGAAAAAAAAATAAATATATATATATATATTGATATATCTATAAGAAAAAAAAGTATATAGTATATATAAATATAAAAATTTTAATGTATATATATATTTATATATATATATAAATATATATATATATATATATATATATATATATTTAAATTTTATAAATTAGTATTTAATTTAATTTATATAAAAATTTTTATTTTTATATAATTCTATTATATATTTTTTTAATTTTAATAACCTAAATTTTTTTTTTTATTTTCTTAATAAATAATTTGTATATTTTTTATATATATTAATCTATTCAAAAATTTGTATATATTTTTTTTATATTTTTATAAAATAATCTAATATTTTATTAGAATTAGAATAAAATAAAAAATTTGTTAATATTCATAATAAAATAAATTAAATAATTTTTAATAAATATAATGACTATTAGTGTAAAAAACATATTTTCTGATATTTAAAATTTATTTTTAATATCTTAATTTTATAATTCTTTATATAAAATTTTATTATTTTTTATTTTTTATTTTACATTAGTTTAATATTATAATTATTATTTTGCAAATTCAAGTTTATAAAATTTTAAAGTAAATTTAAAATACTTCCATTTAAATTTATTTTAAAAGTTTTACTTTTCCGTATATTAATTAACATTTTTTATTTAAATAATTATTAATCCTTAAAAATGCTAAAAAACTTATTAATTACGAAATCAGAAAAAAGCGCTACAGCGAATAATTATGTAATAATAAATAGACAAAAATAATATAAAGCTTTTCTTTTATATTTTAAAAAGCAATATTAGTATATTTTTATAATTAAATAATATAAAAATAATAATAATAAAAAATAAAATAATGTATATAATAATAACAATTATATAAAATATAATAAGATTTAATAATTATATACTTATAATTCTGAAAAATTAATTATATTTTTTAATATTACAATATATAAAATATTTAATTAATTTCAATAAATATTTATTTATTTATTTTATTTTATTATATGAATTTCTTATAAAATCTAAAAGCCTTTTATTTTATATAATAAAACAATCAATCAAATGTTATTTTTATTTATATATTTTGTATTTTGTAATCTTTAAATCTTATGTATTGCAGATAAAGATATATCTATTCTTAAGTTATTTAATTATATTTAAATTTAAATTAGCGTTTATACAAAATATTATTAATAATTGTATATTAAAATCTTTTTTTTTAATGTAAAGTTTTTTAACTAATTAATAAAAATTATTAAAAAAACAATTTAAAATTTCAACAGTAATATAAAATAAAGTTATAAAATAGAACATATGTCTTTATTTATTAACAAATCAGTCTATATTTAAAGCATAATATTTATTTTTAAGAAATCTTTTTTTAATATATTTGAAAAAAAAAAAAAAAATTTTATAAATTATATTATTTATAAATTACGTTAATTAATATTAACGTAAAAAATTAAAAATATAATTAATTGAATATATATAAACTAGAAAATACATTTATATATATATATATAAAAAAATATATAAATATATATATATATATATATATTTATCTATATATTTATTACAATATTTTTTAAAAAAATTATAAAACATTAATCTTAAGAAATAATAAATTTAAAAATAAGAAAATATATATATATATGTTTTATAATTTTGTTTATACCAAAAATAAAAAAAAGTTATATATTTTTTTTTAACATCATTTATTTTTGCTTGAAACTTTATTATTTCCTTTATTTGTTATAATTTATTTAACTTAACTTGTTTAGTTTTCGATTTTTTATTTATTATTAATTGTACTTTAAACATTATTATTTTTCTAAATAGTACTTTTTATGGATTGCTACTTATATTTGTTTTATTAACTTAACTAACTTAATTAGATTATTTAGTATTTACTTACTTTTTAACAGCTTGAATATGTTAATATTTATGATTTTAAGTTTATAGTTTATATTAATTTTTTGAATTCTATAATAAAAAAAAAAATAATTAAATGAATAATATATTTATAAAAAATAAAATTATATATACTTTAGTTTTCCCTTCATAATATTCAATTTCTTAATCAATATTTAATTAACTGTATGTTTTATATTCATCTTTAATTTATAAATTATTGTCACTAATTTAATTTTAAGCACATTCTACTTTATTTTAAATATCTTAATCGAAATCAACTTTAATATAATCAATTACTTATTAACATTAATTTTATATTCTATAATCTTTATCAGTAAGTAAATATTTAAGAACTTAAAAAAAAAAAAAAAATTATAAGATATATATATTTATTTATATATATATATATATATATATATATATATATATATATATATATATATATATATATATACCTTCGAAAAACTTATTAAGATTATTTTTATCTATTTTGACAATAATAAAATATATTGGAATTAACAAATCAATAATTTTTTTCTTTAAATAATAGACTTTATCAATACAAAAATTTAAAACATTAATTAATTTATGATTTTTGAAAATCTCCGGTTCAAGATTATAAATAACTGATTGAACAAAAAGTACATAAACTAATTTATTCTAATAAGATCTTGAGAAATAAAAATTGCTTTAAATTTCGTGAATTAAATCTTCTCCTTCTTTACATCCTAATGTACATTTCTTTTCAAAAAATTTAATTACGCATTTTAGAGAAAAGTTTCTGATTTCAACACACCCTTTTTCCATACATAAAACTAACACAGGGATATATAAATCGCTAATTTCTGTAGGTTCAAAAATTTATTAATTATTATCTATATTTTCAATAATTTTATACAAAAATCTCCAATTTGAATTCTATATTTATTTCTAAATCACATCCAAACACTCTTTTATTAATTCAGAGTAAAAAAGCTTGAAATTTTTTACATCATCCCTAAACAAATCTAAAAGTTAGGGAAAAACACTTATCGAAAATAATTTTTTTATCTCATTTTATTCTTCATTCATTATTTATTTTATTTATGTTTTTACTACTCCTTTAATATTTTCCTTTCCTTAAAACTATAATACATATACGAAAATTTTTAATGCCTATAAACGGACTTCTAAATTATTATCTTTAAAAAGCATGTTATTATACTATTTTTGAATACTCCCCCATATTTTTTTGCCGTATATTTATAATATACAAGGTAGATTATATAATATATTTATTCTAATTTCATAATCTGTACTATCCACATATTCTTATATTGCACTTAGTATTACTGATTAATTAGTTTATTTTTATTCAAGAATATGTTTTAACTTTTTTATTTTTTTTAATATAAATAAAATTTACACATATATAAGTCTTTATTTAAAATACATTATGTAAAAAAGGACCTATATTTTAAGAAAAAGCTATTCTTATTTATTATTATTTAGCATGTAATAAATCAAAGAAAATAACTTTTATTTTGTTTTATTTAAAATTATCTGATAGTTTATCCAAAATTCTGGAAAGAATAGATATTGATTAAACTTTTATATTTATATTATTATCTTAAATGAAATCTATTAACTATTTATATTTTTGTTTTTAATAATATATTTAAATAAAAAAGCTTATACAGAATCATTCCAATTCTTTTCTGAAATATCACTAGGTAAATAATTATAAATATTTTCAATCACACAATTAAGAAGTCTTTATCTAATATCTAATTCAGAAGTCTAAGTAAATAAATTAGCTATATCAATCATTTCACAATTAGTTTTATCTTTTTTAATCTTTTATATTTTTTTTTATTTATTAAATAAAATAAAAAACAAAAATACTTGCATAATAATTCCTAATAATCTCATAGAAGTTGCCTTATTTATAGAAGCTGAAGTAATCCCAGAAAGCTTAAAAAATTCTTCATTTATTTATTTTTCGAATATATTATAATCTACATTATTTATGAACAATTAAAAAACTTAAATCCAAGGATTGATTATTAGATTATTCTCTAATCTTAACATATTAAAAATTTTTTTAAATAATAAAAATTGCTCATCTTAATCTAATTAATTTATTCCTCCCTTTATTTTATATTTTTATTTTAATTTGCCTTTTTAATTCACAAATGTTATTTAAATTTTTTTTTTTTTAAATATATGTTTATTTACTTCTTATTTTAAAAAACTTATAAACCCTTAACCAGCTTCAACTTATATTTCTACTTATTATTAATTTAATTATTCCTATATTATTTTATAAAAAAAATATATATATATATATTTACCAAAATCAAAGTTAAAATCTCTTTTTGTTCTTTTTTTTATAATTTAAAATACTGATTTAAATTTCCATATATAGAATATCTTTAAATAATATCTCCTTATACCAATATTTTTTATACTTTTGCTAAATCAGTTAGATTCTCTTTAAAAATATATTTTCTGATTTCTTCTTCACTCTTTTTTTATTTATAAATTTTACTAAAAATAATCAAAACCAAAAATAAAATGTTATTTTATATATATTATATATTTAAATTTAAAAATTAACTTTTTGTTCAAAAATGAATTCTTTTCCTTCAAAAAATTAATCTTTTTTTACTTATTACATTCTTTTTTTATTATTTTGTTTTTTATTTTTTTTATTTACTTATTTTTTATCACTATATAAAGAATTATTAAAAATTAACTTTTTTTATAAATCATAATCTTATTTTTTTTTTTAAAAAAAAAAAACAAATAATTAACTAATTCATATTTTATAAATTAAAAAAAAAAAATTGAACCTAAACATATATATAAATATATATAATAGTTTTTTAAATTACAAATAAATTTATATTAATATATTTTTAATTAATTAATATTCAATTAATTTATAGAAATCTTCTTCATATAAAATTAATTAAAATTAATTTATTTTATTTTTAATAGTTCTATCAAATATACGAATATCTATGTTGTTCTTTTATTATATTTATTTATTTCATTTTTATATAATATCTTAATTTTTATTAATATTAATAATAACAAAAAATATGCTTATTTAAAATTAAATGTAATATTATTTTAAATCACTTATTATTTAATAAAATTAATGTTCATATAAGGGAAAAAATATCATTTATTTTAACTAATCAATATTTTAATTTGGGAAAACTAGTTAAATTCAAAATAAATTTTAATCTAAGCGTTTACAATATTATATTTTTATTTTTTAATTTCGGATTAATAAGCTTTATTTCTATTATTATTATTTTACATTTATTGCTAAATTATTTAAATTATTTTTATATTATATATTTAAATATTAATAAATTCCAAAAAGCATATTTATAAACTAAACTTTATTTTCTTCAAAATTTAATATTTTTAAACTCACCTGATGGATTACCACCTCTATAACAATTTTATATGAACTATTATTACTAATAATATGTTTTTTTTTACTTAATTCTATCTAAAAATATTATTATTTTTATTCTAAGTAAGTATGTATTATTTCTTTTTAAATTAAAAACAATATCAGGTAATGAGCACTTAATTCTTTTATAAAAACCTTAACTTTGTTTAATTTAACTAACAAAGAGTTAACTTCATTATTATATTATTAAAAATTAGAATTTCTATTAATATTATACTCAAAAAACATCTCTAATAATTTCTACAATTATCCAATATAATTAAAACATTTATTTTTAAAAAAAGCCTATCTTATTTATATAACCTATTTTTATTGAAATAAAACTCTTGTATTATTAATTAATATTTTATTTTAAAATTTATTTTTTATTGGATACAAAATGTACTCTTGGAATTTTTTTAACCACATTTTCAATTCTAAAAACATAAGAAAATTTTCTATTTTAAAATAATTTTAATTTGATTTAACTTTCTTTTATTCCAGAAACTATTCTAAAAATTAAATTAATTTTTATTTTGTTTATAACTAATAAAGGATTATTTACTATGCTTTTTGGACTAGTTGTTCTCTAACATATTAATAAAGTTTCGCACGAAAAAATCGCTTTGACCCGGATTCTATCTAAATCTAAATATTAAGAGTAACTTCATTATAATTTTTTACTTTTCCATCTAAAATAAATATAGAATTTAAAAAAAAAATGTTCATCTACCTCATATAAAATAATTTAATTATTAAAAAACTCCATAGTATTAAAAATACTAATTTTTAAAAAAACCTCAAAGAAAAATATTGCATTAAAATTCCATATTTTTCCACTATTTGAAAATCAGAATTATTATTCTAATATTAAATAAGAATTATCATAAAAAAGCTTATATTCTAAATATTTATTATAGTCCAATAATAATTCATAGTCTATATTTCTCATTTTAAATTCATAATTATACTCTTCATTTACTCCCCCCGAAAGTTTTTCTATTGCTTGTCAATATATTAAACTTTCAACTCTATAGAATTAAAAGAATAAGTAAAAACACTGTATAAATTATAATTCTAAACATCACTAAAAAAACTTATTCGTATTTTAAAGTATAATATCCATATATTGGACTATATTTAATAATTTTAATTCATCAATATCAAAGCTAATACATAATTATTTTGTCCAATTTATTTCAGTATTTTTTAACTTATCATAAGTATACTTATATTCTATATATATTAAAATAACCAATTCATGTCATTATGTTAAAGGTAAAAAGAAAGGAAAAGATATGATAATAAATATGCAGTAAAAAGAGTTTAAAAATAATCAATAATGTTTTTTTTTTTTCCTGTGTGAAAATTTCTTTTTATTTTAAATTTATTTAATTCACTTAAAAAATCTCTTAAAAAAATGAGTCATATTTGAATATTATTTATAACGATTTTACTATTTTATGAAAGGAAAATTACAAAAACATATCTATCAAATTAATAATTTCTATATTATTATTATACTTTTTTCCAATCAAATGTAAAGTTTAATAATATGTCCGAAATAAAATTATGGAAATAAAAATAAAATATAATTAATTCCTTATTTTAATATTTTTTTATAACTCCTATATAAAAAACTGTATGTAAATGTATAAATATTAAAGAACTTAGTATTATAAAAACTTTTATAAAATCCATATACTATTAAATAAAATGAATTAGAGGGAAATTATATATAGGTATATTTGTAAAAAAAAAGTTTATTTTTAATATTTTAGTTATTATTTTATTAGAGTAGATTTTTATAAATTTAATATTTATTTGTTTTCTATAGACATTTTCCTTAGCTTTAGAATGCTAAAACATTTATATAGTTATATTATTATTTAGAAAATTATTAAGGTCTCCGAGTTTTTTCTTGTATTTTTAAATGTTTTTTCATTATAATTAGCTTCAAATTCTGAAATGTATAATATTTATCTTATTAGTTTATTTTATTGAATAACTTTTCTAAATTTCTATTTTAGAATTATTCTTAAATATTTGTTAAACTTTAATTTATTTTAGAATTATTTACTTATAAAAGAATTATTTACATGGTTTTTTAATATTTTTTATACTTTTACTTTAGTCTGATTTAATTATATTTTAATGAACTTTTGCATTTTGTATTATCATATTATTTATTTTATTAAGAAATTATAATAATCTACAACAAAAATTAATATCATTATATTCTACATATTTTTTTATATATATATTTTTTATTTATTAAATTGATAATAATTATAATAGGAATACAATTATTTATAGGGAATATTTTTTTTTAAAATAGGTTTGATTATATTTGTTTGTATTTTATTAAAAAATTTATAAAAAAATATTATTTTTTATTTATTAATAAAAAAATAATTCTTGTTTATATAATTTTAATATTTTTAGTGCATTTTTGATTTAACTTATTTAAAATAAAGAATTATCTATTTTTTTTTTTTGTATAAAAAAAAATATCATAACATTTCAATTAAATTAAACATATATAAAAATATTAATATATTTAGAAATACTAATAAATAAAATACTATTCAATATATAAAAAAATCAAATAATAATCAATAATAAATTTTAATATTATATTAATAAAAGTAATAAAAAGCAAAAAATAAAACAAACTCACTTTTCAGTCAACTCCCTAAATCCAGACCAATTAGCAGGCGCATTAAACTAGTACTATCCCATAAAATCCAAAAGTGTTTTACTAGGTCCATCATTATGATTTAATTTTTATGCATTAATGATACATTCTTTACTTTCTTTCCATTTACCCTTCAAATAATTCTAAAAGCCTTCTTTGAAAATCTTTTGAAATTCCGGATTTCTTTTACTAAAAATCATCCTTAAATCTTTTATTTCATTAATATAATCACCAAAATTCCAATTTTCAATTCCTTCCACATAATTATGCATTCTTCCTTGATTTTCTTATCTTTTATATTTAGCTTCTTCATGCTTTAATATATTAAATATATTTTACTAAAAAAAATAATGTTTTTATTATTTTTTACTTTTTCATAATTAGTTAAGTTCTAAATTTATTACTTAGAAGGTTCCAATCCATCACAATCAGTATCAACAGTATAAAGCCCAATTGGTCTAACTGACCCTTTAACAGTCACTCTATCAATATATCTAGTAAACTCCTTCATCGAATCCGACATTTAATCAATTAAATCACTCGAAATAAGCAAAGGTACCCCATATTATTTAGTAGCGGCTTCCAATCTACTTGCCATATTAACATTCGGTGACAAGTAACTGGCATCAATTTTAAATTCTGATCCAATAGCTCCTTCTATTCCCCAGCCTATATGTAATCCATACCCCATTTTTACTGCATAATTTTCAATTCTTTGTTAGAGTCTTTTATCTTGTCTATAGGCCAAAATTTTTGGCAACCTATTAATTTTGGCATTAATTCTAACAAAAGAAATCGCCGCGTAATCTGAAAGCATATTAATATACTTTTTGTCATGATAAACAATTGTATTTTCCAAATCATCTATTGAATATTTATTTTCTTAAATTTTCCATACTAATAAAAAAGCGTCTCCAATATTCTTATTAGCAGCCCCTAAATATCTATCTACCATAGTATGTACTACTTCACCTATATTATTAACAAAAACCATCACATCTTCTTATAATACTTCGGTGGCATCTGTGAAATTCCTAATATCACAAAAACCATAAATGGCGCATTTTTTTTTACCAGGAATCATAGGGTCCACATCTCCTGTAGTAGCCATATTACTTCCAATGATTTCACTTCCGGCATCACCAAAGCCTAATGCGAGTAAAGTACCAATTTTAATAATGGCATTTTCGATAATTACAGTTTCATATTATTCAACATCTTTACCTTTAATTAATTTCTAGTCCTTCGAAGATAAAGGATTATTTGCGATTTAAATTACTTTGTCTCTCATCCTTTCTATTGGGCCTAAAGCCAAATCATTTGCGTCTTTAGCGAATAACAAAGCTCCAACAGTTAATACTATACATACGAAAATAGTCCTTCCAATCGAAAGTCCTGCGTTTACTATTGAATTTGATCGAATATTCAGATATCCAGAAAATACTAAATTATCTTCACTTAAAGTGCTCATATATATTATATCTTAAGTAAATCCATTAAGGTGATTTTATTTGAAATTATTTAAATCAATAGGAAGTTCAGTACCTTCTTTTTCTGTTAAACGTAGGAGATTAAAATCGGAACTTTAATATTATAAACTTTTGTCCTAAAAAGGCGTTTATAAATACACGATAGGGGTTTGTAAGTTTTTATGACGTTCAACTATAGTATCAAATAATAGTTTAATGTCTGCTTTTTAGGAGTTATTGTTTTCTGTGATTAATACTAATTGTTGGATACACAAATCCATAGTAATAGGTGGGTCAAAATAATAATCAGCAGAAAATAATGGCAGTATAAAAAGTAATACTAGTACTATTATTATTACTCGTTTAGTAGTTAAATCGGATAATTTTTTTGATACACGGGATTCTTTAGGAGGAATAAATGCCTTAATTTTATTTTTTATTTAATTTAATAATTTTTTAAATAATAATTATATTAATTACATTTTTTTTTATTTAATCATTATTTTAAGTGTTATTAGTATTATAATTACTATCTCTTTTTTAAGAACCATTATTATCAACAATTATATTTTCCTATTTATTTTCAGTATTTATATTATTATTTTAATTCTTCTCGTTATCTATATTAGAATCCAATTATTTAGAGTTTTTTTATAAATTACCATAATTACTAGGATTTGGATAAACTTATTTTTTTTTCATTCGTCTTTCTTCTATTTTTTTTTTTATTTAAATTTCATCATCTTTTTCAGCTGATGCTGCCTTATATAATTTAACTATACGAATTAATCTAACTAATCTAACTATTCTTCCTGCCCTTTAATATAATTGTTTAAAAAAAGATAAAATTAATAATATAAATAATATAAATAATATAAATATATATAGATATATATATATTTATATATATTTATATATATATATTTATATATTTACCTTGTTCCTATTCTTGAAGTTTTTCCTGCTTTTGCTAAAGATTATGTATTAGCAGTAGAAGAATAAAATAAATAATTAGAAATTAATTAAATGTCTAAAACTAGAGAAATAGTAGAAATTGTATCCAACCAAAAGAAAAACGAGCATGCATATCCTTTTCTACTAATTACACATAATATAATTTCACAAGAAAATACAATCAAAGCTAAAATATTAATAGCATCAAAGTATACATCTGCATCTTTATCAAATGCTATTATTCTAATATCATCACCAAAAAGTGTAAAAAAAGTCAAAGCGTTAACAAGTATACTGAATGGTAAACTATTCAAAAACGCATTTACTAATGGATGAATTATAAGTTTAGATTCATCGTCATCATCATCTTTAAAAATTTGATTTTGTTGCTCTTTTTTTTCTTCTATAGCTGTACCTGATTATATTTGATTTGAGTTAATATTTTTCTAAAGTAAACTATTCCTTTATGGTGAATCAGATTATTAAGGACTATTTTTAAAAAATATAAACGTAATTATATCTTTTAAAAATTATTAAAAATTTTTAAATTATTATATAAATTTATGAAAAATATTTTATAAGTTATATTAAATTATTTATTATTTTTTATTGAATTCTTTACATGATTTATTTTTAATCTTTTAATTCATTTTCTATTTAAAAAATTAATATATAAGCATATATTAACATGTTTATATATATATATATAAATATTTTAAATAATCAATATATATGTAAATATAAAAATTATTTATACATATATACATATTTATTACCTTTTTAATTTTTATTATTTTACTTATTATTTTCCTTATTATTTTAAAAATAAAATAAAAATAATTATATAATTTTTTACCTCATTATTTGGTTAAGATTTATTTTTTATATTGTTTAAAGATTATTTTTATTCTTTTTATATATGTTATTGCTATTCTTATTATTTTTCTAAATCATTTTATTATTACTTTGCTTTGTTTTACTTTTATTTTATATTATCATATTAGTTTTTTTTATATATTTTTTAAATTAATAAAATATATAAATATTTAAATATATTTTATTTTAATATTTTTATATTAATAAATTTATAATAAAATTAACCTATTCGTATTCATTCGGCTTATATTAATTTGTTTAAATTTTTTAATTTTCTTATTATTAAGGATTTTAATCACTCATTATTTTTATTTTACAAATATTTAATTTATTTATTTTAATATATATATATATATATAATTATTATTTTATTTATCAGTTATTTAAATTTATTTAAGTATATATATGTAAATAATATTTTTTAATATTTTTTTTTTAATTTTATTTATAAAATTTATAGTCATAAATAAAACAAATATTTTTGTATAATTAAATAAAATCAAATTCAAACATTTTTTTATGGTTAAAAGAAATTAACTTATATATTTTATATTTTTTACTTTATATTTTTTTTTTTTTTTTAATTAGAAATAAAATTAATTATTATTTATATATTTAAAATTATAAAATAAATTAAAAATAAAAATTATATATATATATAATAATTTTTAACCATTAAATTAAAAACATTATTATTATTACTATCTGTTAATAATATATTTATTTATTTATATATATATATATATAATATTATTTTAATAATTTAAGTCAAATACGATTTATTTCATATAAAATAACATTCGATTTACATTTAATATCAAAAAGAGGATCGTTTTTCTTTAATATAAGCTATTTATCACTAATAAGTTTCATAGACTCTTAACTTGTAATAACCAATTAAAACTTAATACACAATTCTTCAATTTTTCCTTTTTATTAAATTCCTATATTTTCTGATATATCACTATAAATCAACAAGAATTTTCCTTTTCTATTTTTTTTAGTTTCATGATTTAAATATTATTCTAATATTTAAATATAAAAAAATAAAATAAAAATATTATACATGCAAATCTAAAACAACTTTCAAGCATTTATTCTTTATAGTCATAGATAGAAATATCTAAAGAACTTTCATTATTAAGTGGACTTACTGTAATCCGAGGTGGATTTGCGAAAATAAGATCAAACTTCTATTATACTCCTATTCTTTTAAATAATTATTAAATACCATTATTATTATCTTATTATTGACATAAATCAAATTAAATATTTTTAATACTTTAACCCATCCCTAAAATAGCCCCATTCATTCCTGTACATCTAACAGCCTTTTCTTCTTTATCTAAAGCCAATATTTTACATCAGAATTCATTTATCCCAAAATAAAAGATAGAACTCCACTTCCACAGCCTATATCACAGGCATTCTCGATTCCTCTTGTAAAATGCCTATTATTATCTAAGTACTTATGGAAAAGTTACAAATAATGCTATTGAGTAGGTGGGAAGACTCCATATATAGGAAATACTTTTTTACCGTTTAATTAGGGAATCGAAATGCCATTATTTTCATATTATTCGGCAGAATTAATACCTTACCAGAATGTATAAGGAAGAATAAAATCATGTTTTTCTAAAGCATTTTATTAGTTTCCTAAATGTAGTTTTAATAATTAAGATTAAGGAATTTTATTGCCGTGTAATCTCAATTATCCATCATAGGTAGATGCAATACAAATTCTTTAAAAAAAATTATTTTTTTAAAATTTCTATTCGGCGGTATAAATTATAAATTTCTTTTTCGTTTTTGCATTTCTGGAAAGGATTTTTTGGTTTCCTTTCTGTTCCGTAAAAATGTTCGTTGATTATTTTTTTGGCAGCCTAAAAAATTTAATTAGCATTAAAATAATTCGCATATACACTAAATATTAATAAAAAATCTTTCTCATTTTTAAATATTTTTCTTATATAATTAGCCGATGTAGTATTATGTAGATGATATATAGTATTTATTTTTTATTATTTTTCGAATGATAATTAAGTATTTATGTATTTTACTTTACCTATTTATGTATTAAATATACAAGTCTTATCTTTTTCGTCTATAATAGGAATTGTCTTTTCTATTAATTTCTCAGTTTCAATAATTATTGTACTGTTTTCTTATTAAAATTATTAATCTAAAATTTGCTCTTCATTTATTTCTTATTATTTTGTATCTTATATTAATATTTCAGAATTTTTTTAAGAATTTTATATTTAATTTTATTTCTTATTTTCTAAGTTTTTTATATTATTTTTATGAGCTATTATTGGCTTTTTTAATATTTTTACAAAATTAAAATATGGCTTTATATTTAAAAAAGGATTTTTAGAACTTTATTTTAATATTATTTTAAAAAAATTCATTTTAATTTATTTTTTAACTAATATTATTAAAGATTTCGTATTTAATTAATTTTAGATTTTGTAATTATTCAATTAATTAAAAAAAATAAAAAATATTATAAATAGATTAAATATTAAACATAAAAAATAAAACAATATATATACAAATAAAACGACATTTTTTTATAAAATAAAACTCTGTATTTAGAAATTCTTATAAAATTACTAAATAAAACAAAAATAATAATCAATATATTTTCATATATAAAAGAAATAAACAAAATATTAATTTAGCATATATCCGCCAAATAAATTATTAATATATTTTTACAAAATTAGGCCACAAATAAAAAATATTGAAACTAATTACACACAAAAATATATATTATGTTTTTAATTAATTATTTTTAAAATCAAATTTATTTAATGTATATATAATAATAATTATTTAAAATCAAAGAAATATATATTCATTGTTTATAAATGTAATTTATTATATATAATGGAGATCATTTTTATAAATCAATACCATAAATGTAACTTGTATATAATATGCTTAATATTAGTTTTTAATATAAGTTTTTATTGTGAGTAATTTTTAAAAATAATATTTTAAAATAATAATATTAATATTATATAAATAATCCTTATAATTCAAAATATTCCTATAATATTTATATAAATTAGTATTTTACTTTAGTAAAATGATATATAACATAAAATTAAAAATAAAAATAAATATTAAATTTCTTTTAAATATAATTATATAAAGATATATATATATATATTTTGTTTTCAAATGATTTTTTTTTATTAATTCAGTCATATCCAAAAGCATCCTAATCTGAATAGGTTACATATAAAAATCCATCTTCTTTATCTGCATTAGTTTCATATATATCACTCATAGTTTTATCTTTATAATTAAAATTATGAAATATATATAAATTATTATTATGATAGTTTTTTATATATAATTTACTTATTTTTTCTATATTTCTGTTTCCAATAAAAAAGAACAGTGCATCATTTTCATTTTTAAGTTCAAGTTTTCTACGTACAGTTTATTAAAATTCATGTAATTTTAATTCTCTTGATAATAAAAATCTAATATATTTTTATAATAGTAAATTTAATATTTTTGATAATTTTAATTATTATTTATTTTAAAATAAATACTTTGATTTTTAAAGAGGTTATAATGTTTTCGCATATTTATCTAATTCAACAATTACAGGAATCATATTTGGATATTTTTATTTTTATTTTTCAAGTTCTTTAATTCTTTCCCCTAAAGTATATTTTTATTTAAAAGGTATATATATTTATTTTTATTTTTAATCCATTTTTATTATTTATTAAATTATTAATATTATTTATTATATAATTTATAATCATTATTTCAAATTATATATATCAAATTTATATATTTATTATTATTATCAATTTTTTTTTGTATTTTATAAAAATAATAAAATAATATTTATAAAATTGTAAATAATAAATAAAATATAATTACATTTTTTTATTTAAATAAAAAATATTAAATTTGCAATATTTATTAAAATAAATATTTATATAATATAATAATATTATATTTAATTGATAATTTCTTACAGTAAATAATATATTACTTTTAAAAATAAAATAAAAGATATTATTATTTAATTTTTTTGTTATTTTTAATTAAATAAATAGAAAATTTAAAAATATTTATTATTTTATATCAAAATTTTTTAATTTTTTTTTTATATAAAAATATTTAACTGATTTTATGTCAAACAAATAGTAAAAAAAAAAAATACTTTAAAAAATATATGTATATATATATATATAATCAATTTTTTTTTTTTTAAATTTTGCCATGATACAAGCTATTATTTACATCCTAAAATTATTTTTTCCTATATTTATTAGCATATTAACTATTATCGGGAATATATATTTCATCTGCCAATAATTCATCTTTAAATAATCTTAATCCCGAATATTCATATTTCAAGCAAACTTCTTGGCTTCTTCTTAGGGCTTATTTAACTTTGTAATCTATTTAATCAAGATTTCTAAATATATATAAAATATATGTATAAATATATATATTATATATATTAATATATATATATATATATATATATATATATATATATTTATAATATATATATTTAAATTTTTTTATATATTTTTTTAATTTTATTTTAAATTAACTTTTTTTCATTTATAAATAATAAAATTATCTTCTATTTAATATTTTTATTATTATGATTATTATAAATTATTATCTTTTTCAATATTATTATTTGATTATATTTTTTCTTTAATTTTAAAATCATTAACTGCCCTTTTTATTTCTTCATTTTATTCTAATTATAATTATTCCTACTAAATATATGAATGAGACTATTTATCCCCACTTTTTTCATTCATGATTTTTTTCATTTCTCTATCGCTTAGATTCCCTTCTAAAATTTTCTATAAAATGCCCAAAATACCTTTCAAATCTTATCTTTTTTCATCTTTTTCTAACATATTAACCAATAAAAAATACAAATAATCTCCATATAAATTCCTCACATCTTCCAAAAGTTAAACTAAAATTTCTTCTTTTATAATAAAATTATCGAAATCGAATATACTTTAAATATTTCCAAAAGTAGCCATTTCCAAAGCGACCAATCCCAAACAAAAAACGTCATTTTTATTCAAAGATAATTTCCCGAATTCATTTTCTTAGATACACTTTAACATTTCAGGCGAATAAAAATAATGTTATTTAAAAAAGCCAACAGATTCCATTTTCAGAATTCCCTAAACTACTTTTCTTAAAAAATTAACGTCTGTTAATAATAATATTCCCTTATTAATCAAATAAAATCGTATTTGGGCATATTTCTCCATGAAAGGTTGAATTTTCTTCCATATAAATGAGTGTATTTAAAACACTTTCTAATAAAAAATAAATCTCATTTTCTAAAAAAATCTACTTTATCTCAAATCTAGTCTGTATTTCATTTCTTAAATTATTTTCATAATATTCTAAAGCTAAATCAACTTTATAAACATTAGAACATAAAGTACTATTATGTATATATTCGTGTTTTAATATTTTTGCTATATTATTTTCCTATTATCTCATTTTATCGCTTATTATTTATATATATTGTTCACATTTTTACTTATCCTCGAATATCTTACTTTTTACACAAATAAAATTACTTTAATTTTCAGTATTTTCTTGATTTTATTCGACAGTTTCTAATTCTTTTGTCTGATTTTTTTAACGGAAAATCTTTATTTCGCCATATGCATCGTCATCAGATTTATATGCAATATATATTAAATCTTTTATTGCTAGACTTGTAGTTTAAATTAATCGGGATTCATTTTCTTAATTTTTTTCATTTGATGTGTTTGAATTACCCATTTTTTTTTATTATTTATTTGATTTTTTTTTAAATAAAATTTAAAACAATAATTTTTTTAGTTTATATGTAATAAAAAATAAATGTATTTTAAAATTTATTTTTGAAAAAAAAAAAAAAAAAAAAAAAAAAAAAGAATTATAATTTTTTTGTATTTTTTCATATTTTACGAAAAAAAAAATATTCATTTTTCTTAAACTTACTTAATAAAAAATTAAATATCATCCAAATTTTCAATTTAATTTTATTCATCATTAAAAAAACTATAATATACTTATTTTTTTATAGGATTAACATATATAATACAATCACTTTTCGGTTAAATTTAATATAAAATTTAATGTTAATTTCCCAATTCCATTTTAAAAAGTTTAAAATTATTATAAAATTCACTATTAATAATCTACTATTAAATAATAAAATCATTAAAACTCTATTAAATATTTCTTTTATCATAAACATAAACAAAAAATGGTTCTTTTTAAAAACTGATAATTTCCTCTA